AAAAATGTAGTATTAACAACAATAAAATGAACTAGAAATAACACAAGTAATTACATCAGACCAACACAATCTTCTTCACCATCTTGACAAACCAATGCCCCCTGTTTTTCGGACACCTCTGTGTGGACTCGCAGCAAAATACAACCCTTTTCGCTTTCGATTTTTCGAGCCATGCGCTCTTGTCAAGCAACCAGTCAATCCGCTGGACATACACTAAATACACATTTTCATCGTTCCCTAAATTTGATTTTATTTTAACAACATCATCCAAATCCATTTCCTTAAAAGGAATACCACAGTCTTTCAACCATTTGGAGACCACCTCCGATGACTTTTTCCCACACACCATCATCTTTTTCGTCGCAGATCCACGCTGGAGTGCTTTGAGCCACGACACAAAGTCTCTCTTTCTTCGGTCGTTCTTCATCCGCGCCACTTCCGACTTGAGGTCATATCGGATGAATTGTGTCGGCCGTGGAGAGAAAACTCCACCTCGCCGTAGTATATATGGGGTGGCGTCATCGCTTGAGCATGAATCCCAAATATCACCATCTTTTTTCTCCTGAAAACTTGGGTCTTGTATCACTGACATTCCGATTTGTGTGATTGAGATTAACAGATTGATTGTATTTTTCTTCTTTTGTCTCTTATAAACTAACTTCACATCATCATTTTTACCAATTTTTTATTTGCCAAATATAAATTCAATTGTTATAGTTTTTTATAGTTTTCAATGTTATATGTTATTAACATATTTGATTTTTAGTATTTTTGAGGAATACTTTTTTTTAGCCAAAATAGTTTAAATATATAGTTTTATATATTATATTTTTTAATTGACTTAATAATGTTGATTTTAAAATTATTCTTTATAATAATTTTTACTAATTTCTTAAAAATTGTTGATTTTAACTAAAAATAAAATAGATAATTATAGTTTTTTTAATTACAAATATCATAAAACAATGAAAATATATTTTTAGAATGACTATGTTTTTTTATATTAAATAAAATAACAAAAATAATCAAATTTATAGTTTCATAAATATGTTCTATATTTTACTATATTATTAGTATTCATTATTAATTAAAATAATTTAAGATACCAAATTATAAAAACAAACAGTTTTATCGAAACAATGGGGTGTTATTTTGAATTAATAAATTAAAGTTTAAAACTACTATTTTTTTTTCGAGTCAAAAATTATATTTTTTTTCAATCTATTTGTATTAAAAAAAAGAAAAAATTAGGGTTTGTGGTACTCGATTGTAATTCTGAAATGACTGAAGTTATGACGATCAACAATTTTCCATCCACAGTTAAGGGTGAACACATCAACGACGATAAACTCCCATATTACGCCGCATATTCATCATATTTGGAATCTAATGATGAATTTAATGTCGCTTATGATTTCACAGAACGTTCGCAATTAAAAACAGAAAAAGAAAAAGAAGGCTTCATCGAGGTCAAGAAGAGGAAAGCACATAAAAATTAGTTCTGTCTGTGTCCCCGTCACAAAATGTCGGGTAAATTACTGTTCTAAATATTTTATTATTTGTGTTTATATAATTTTATTATATAACTATAGTCGGGTGATAAAGGGGGTTAATTTGGGACAGAAGTAGTTAATTTGAGTAAAAAACTATAAAATATAATTTATTTAACCATAAAAGTATTAGAAGGGTTTTTTCAATTAACTACTTTGAAAATAATAAAAGAAAACCATAACTATCTATTTTTGATATTATTCAATCTTTGAAAACAATGGAAGAAGAAGAGAAAGGAACCCTTGATGAAATAACCACAGGCAATCAACATAAAAAAGCAATTTAAATACAAGAAACCAGTTTAAAAACTGTATTTCAATATATATTCATGATGTATATGGTTAAAATGCCAGAGTTTAATGAATTAACAACAGTGTCAATTTTTGAAAGTGTCAGGGAATCACTGAAAAATCATCATTTGTTGAAATCTTTCAATCTTTCGTTGTTGAACCATTCCCATTGAGAAAGGATAAGAGAAAGACCATTTTAACATAAAAACAATTGGAGTTGAAAAAGAGCAGAAAAGAAATGAAACAAAGGAAAAAACAAAGGAAAAATTCTTTAACAAAACAAGTTTCAGACAAACCATAAAAAGTGCTGCGTTTTAGACTTCCACATTTTTTAAGTGAACAAATTGAGGTGTTTTTGTTTATTTTTGAAATAGAAATTTATAATTATTCAATTTATAATCATTTAAAATAAAAAACGATAATTTATATTATTATTTTAATTTTATGTTTATTTTGACCTTTAAATAGATTTTTTAAAAATTATAGTTTCAAAATTATATTTATCAAAATTAACTACCTTTGTCCCTTTTTAATGCCATTTATCCCCCGACTATAATATGTATTTTCAATAGTTAATTTTTATTATTAAATAACAACAAAATAAATAAAAAATTTTTATTATAAAGAGCACCAGAAAACTGTCGTACACATTGTTTTAAGGTTTTTTTCTGTATAAAGTCGGGTTTTTATTTTTTCAAAACCCAATTTTTTTCCTGATTGTTTAGTCAAATTTTATACATGAAAAAATATACCCGATTTTTTGGTTTGTTTGATACTAAAATCACAAGTGTACGACTATTTTCTGTTGGTCTTTAAATTATTTAATTTTGTAATTTTTAATATAAAATTAATAGTTTTATATAGAATAAACTGTAGTTATTCATAGAAAAAGTGTATTTAATTTGAACTAAAAATGTGTAAATAAAGTTACTGTTTGTTTTATTAACATTTGAAAATATATACTATAATAAAGTTATAATTATTTACATTTTTATTAATTGTTAAAGATTGTTTTTAATACACTATTTTACAAATATGAATTAAAGAAAAATAGAGAAGTTTCATTTTATTAATATGAAAATTAAAAATATATTAACAAAAATGTTTTTTTTGGTTTACAAAAAAAGACAAATTAATAACGACAATATAATTAAAATATTATTAAAATATAATTAAAATAATACAATAAATAATTAGTTAAAAAACAAGAATAACACAATTCAAAAGCAATCTTTTAAACGAGAGAAATGTTTTAGTTGAAACTACATTTATTAGTAAAAAAGCCAAAGCAGAATATAAACCGACGTAAGGGAAGTTCTTCGAGTTTATCTCAAACTTGAAAAATAAGATATGATGTGTGACAATTTGAGAGATAAGGAAAACCGATTGAATATTGGAATCTTTGGCTACCAAGAGACGGGGAAGACGTCCCTAATTCATGTCTGGTGTAACGAGCCGGTTAATAATGAATATATTCGGACAACAGAAATGGAATATAGTGAGTTAAATGTGACTGTTTTAGATACTACAATCCCATTAACTTTTGGAGATTGTGGCTTTGAAGTCGTCGAAAAGTTTATGGACTCCGGGTCGACAGCTTTACCCTTTCTTAAAGTCATGAATATCCTTATCTTTGTCTTTGCAACGAATTCAATAGACTCATATAACTTCTTGGAAGGATCCCCTTCTTCAGTCTTTTTTAATCCCGGCGCTAACGTCGAGCAGTACGTCATATTAAACATGAATGACTTGGAAGAGAAAGATGAGACGAAAAATCTCGTGAAAGAACACGCAGAACAAAATAATATGCCTTTCTTTGTCACGTCGACAAAAAACCCCGACGGGTGTAAAACGGTGTTGAATAAGATCGTCAATTCATATTTCGAAAATAATCCAAACGCTCTTGAAAAATTTAAAAACAATCCCCTCAACAAAAACACTAAAAAGATAAAATCTCAAAAAAGAAAGTCAAGCAAAACTCCTCAGAGTAGCCATGAGGTCAACAATCACAATGACAAAAAATGTTGCACAATTGTTTAACTATTGTTTATAGAATGTTTTATCAATTTCCATTTCATGTGCGCCGTTCCAACCACCACAATCTTATCAAATTCATAAATTGTAATTAACAAACTCTCGGTTTTTTCATTAGTTTTTATTTTAATTATTGAACAAAATTCAAATGGTCTAAAAATCGGGAAATTTTGAATTTATTAAATATTTTTCCAGTTTTCCAGACGCTTATTATGTGATTAATAGAACACATACTAAAAAGGAAAAACATCTCAAATGATTATTATTATTATTAAAAATAGTTAATTAAAGTGTTAATAGTAACATTATTTATTTTAACACGTTGGAGCTTCCTTTTTTCAGTTTTATATGAAAAAAAATAAAAAAGTTGATGTTTTATTTTTTTGCCGAGTGTAAAAAAAATAAAAAATGGAAAACCCGTTTGAGCTCCTTTGTGGATTTTTATCCTTGTGATTTTAGTAAAATTAATATTCAAATGATAACAAAAATCACTCAGATATTCGAATTATTGTTTTTGTTAACCACGTCCAAGTGTTTTATAATTTGTGGTAATTTGCTAAGACGAAGAACGTTTGTAATAAGCGTTTTTGTCGCCACTTGAAGTGACGTTTCATCAACTTGATTCACATAAATTCATAGAGTGTTTATATTATAAATATACATGCTTTCAATTGTAGATATTAGTACGTCTGTTTTTTCTAACAAGATTAACTCCGACAACCGTCCCTAAAATTAAGTATCTTTATCATAATATTCAACGTTAAACATATTACTCAATTTGATATTGATATAAAAAATTTTAAAAACGAACTGTTTTTGTTTAAACCTTTAGTTTTTATAATCAAAGGCGTCTTTTCCATCTAGGACTCGATCAGATATTATCGTTTTGAATTTTGGAGATTATTCAGTGAAATTGTTATTTAAAAAATTTTGTTTTGGTAGTTCGGCAAAATAGTATGTTGTGTTTCAATGAAAAAAAATTCTGGGAAAAAAGCACACAATAAACTCCAACGTGTTAAAAAATAAGTATTATTTTTTTTAATATATTTATTTTATTGAATATTTTTAAATTTATTTTTAACTATTTTTGTATATTTTATAAATTAAATTGTTTTATTTGAAAAAGAATAATAAAATAAATAATTTATTTTTAATTTATTTCTAGTACAATTGTTTTTTAAAAATAAATTATTGTTACTATTATCAATTGTATTATTTTTTATAAATAATTAAAAACTAAAACAAAACCAAAAAAATTCACAATTATTTATCACAATTTTTGTCTCTAATTTTTTGATGTTAGTGAACATTTTTTCGTTCGATTCTTTACCATGAAATTAATAAACAACAATAAAAGAACTATATTTTACTCATCCGCAATTCTTCTCCACAAAAATGTGAAGAACCCTTTTTGAATCAACAAAGCTCAACTCTAACACATAAACAATGGACGAGACAATAATAAAATATCTTCGCGATCCATCCAACGAATCGAAGGTATTAGGTATTTTTCTTCTCACGAAGAAGTATGAGATCTTGTTAAAGAAAAATCCCACGACCACACTTTTGAGTTATTCGACTGAGTTCTTCAGTTATTTCAGTTCCATTCACCCGACATTTTTTGTGAATTATTTCATGTACTTGGATACCGAATCGCCCTCAGCAGAAGCCGCAGAGACGTTATTAACTATTTTTAAACTATTCTTGAACTCAGACGAGGTGAGAAACTCGGAGAGTGTATTCCCTATTTTACTTGGTCTTTTCGACCGCTTTTTCTCGGCTCCACAACTCACGAAAAGTCTTTCTGAAGTTATAGAAGTCATTGCAGTGTTGTTGCAGACAAAAGTCGCCAGAGCGTCGGCCAAAATCTTTCAGATCCTTCCGGCGTATTTCATGCAAATAAAAAGTGAGGAATCTGCAAAATCTTACTCAAACGTGGTCACACAGCCAGAGTATTCAAGGAAGATATCCTGGCTCATCGAAAAATTTCCGGTGGATCTCCGTCCTCGCGTGATGTCTGGCATTGATGTTGGTGGGCTCACACCAGACGCTAAAACCCAACTCAGAAGGTTGACCGCTAAAATGCTTTCTGGGAAGTTAAATGAGAACTACCAAATCATGTTGACCTTCCTCTTCGCTAAACTTGTCGACACCTCTGTTGACTTTTTGTCCTTAGAACCTCTTGAGTTGATCGATTTTGTCATCAGAAGACTTTGCGTGGAAGTACGTGCAAATTTGGAATTAACTGCAAAGAAAGAACAAAGCTGTGTTATTGCACAGGCACTTATTGTGTATGTGAACCACTTAATTCGATTTAATGAAGATGACGAAGAGGAGAATGAGAAGATGAAACGATGTGGAATCGACATAGAGGCGTTAGGTAAAATCAATCAAAAAGTTATTCCCGTGTTGAATGACTTACATGCCGATGGAATAACTTGGATTATGGAATTTAATGATAACAATCTAGTTTGCTCTGTATACTTCTTTTTTAATTCATTAATTATTATAATATAATAAAAATTCTGATGACTAGATTGAAAAGGTTCTTGACGATCAAGTGTTAAGAACTTTTGTGGCTACAATGTTCCAATTGATTTTATCACTTTCGGTGTTAATACTTGACTTGAAAGAAAAAAATAGTTTCAATCTAATTCTTCCAATTTTGAAACTTTTTAAATCACAAGGAGAGTGTATTTGTTCTGACTTCGAAGATTTGTGGAAAATGTGGTCTTCATTCGAGCAAACTAATTAAAATTTTTTTATTTTATTATAGTTTTATTATAGTTTTTTTACAGTGAATAATAAATTTAGTAATAATGATGATATAATAACATCAATCATTTAAACTATACAAATCCATAAAACTTTGCCCACTGTTTATGTAATAAAAGTCGTGACTATTTCTCTTATTCTCATTTTGTTCGTCGAACTTTTCAAATTCAAATTTTGGTATTTCGTAATATTTTTTTGATTGTTCAAAATCATTTGGAGGAGTTATTTGTTTTTCCATACTTTCATTTCCATACTTCTCAATCTTGTCATTCTTATCATTTGTATTAAGATTGGATGAACCGTCGCCAGAAATGTCATTATTTTCCGTAGAAAGTTCACTTGCGATTTCTTTACTTTCGTTTTCCTCAATCTTAGCCTTCTCATTTTTGGACCCGATGACCGAATCCCAATTATTGACTTTTACAAATGAATAATTTTGGTCATGAGCAATTCCGTGATTTGCGTTTTTTTCTTTTACAAACAATTCTTTCAACAGACTTTTTGTATTAAAAAATTTTAAGAGAGGAATATTAGACGGGTATTGTTCTTTTGTATTGATAAGTTTTTTAATCACGTCGAGTAGTTTATAAAAAATTTCGAATTCTTTTACAATCGTATCGAACGATGGTCTCATTGCAGGGTCTTGTTCCCAACACGAATTAATGAGATCTTTATAAGTACAATCCACTGGTATATCTACTCTCTTTCCCGCCAATACAAACTCATAAATAACATTTTTGTCACTGAAAATGTTTTTGTTATAAATTTCTTTACCTTTCCACAACTCAAGTAATGTGATTGCATATGAATAGACGTCGGTCTTATTACTAATAGTTTCATTCTTTTTAATAACTTCTGGACTCATATATTGTGGTGTTCCTATATTACTCTTCAGTTTCACTTTGTTTGTTTCAACAAACATCAAGCTCGTTCCGAAATCGCAAACCTTTGCGACGACAAACTCGTTCTCGTTCTTCGAGACTAAAAGGATGTTGTCGCTCTTCAAGTCGTAGTGAATGATATTGTTTGAGTGTAAGTACTTCATCCCCTTCGCAACATCAAAACAGATCTTAATTTTCAAGCCAACACTAAAATCTTCAAGCGCTAAACACCGTTTGACCGACATGAATGGACAGAACTCAGTCAGTATACAACACGTGTTGTCGGTTATTGCGCTGCCCATATACGATACAACATTTGGACATCTCAGGCGGAGAAGTAAGTCTGTCTCTTGAAGCATAGCATCCCTTAAGTGATCAAATTCATCGCTAGCATGTTGTTTGAACATTTTAACAGCAACATCTACAGTTCGGTATTTTCCTTTAAAAACAGTTCCAAAAGCACCTTCGCCGATTTGGGGATGTTTGATCTCAATTTCCTCCATATCTAGAAATGGAGAGATCTCGCTTGAGAAGAGAAGTGGCAGTTTCACATAGAAAAAAGTGACTTTCTTGTCGGTGTTTGATTGAATTGAGTTTTGAGTAACGTCAACTGTTTCATTTTTTGTCGTGTTTAGTATTCGTTGAGACGCAGAATGCGCTTTCATAACTTCTTTCATTGAGATGTGCTTCTTCTTGTTAACAATTTTTTCAGAAGAGTCTGAGTCCATAAAATGAGTGATTTTCTCGAAAACCACGCTTTTGTAGATCCGTTTAAAATTGGAATACCGAATTGATATGTAAATGGAGTCGCGGACATTACACGTGCACTTTGGGGATACAAATGCAGAGATTTTAATTTCTCGATGTGGTTTTAATCGTCCGCTTTTTGGACGGAATACAAGTTTGTATTTAAACGTGTCAACTCCATGACATATAAAGGTCATAACCTCATTGTAATTGTTTCTTAGTGTGAAATCAACGAGTGTGAGACAATTAATCTCTAAGATTTTTGCTGTTTCGTCAATTTTGGCGAGTGAAAAGGTAAAGAAAGGAGGCGATTCGATATTAATCCGCACACCACCCTCACGACTAAATGGGACTATTTCTTCGTTGTAAATGTCGTCTAAGATTTTTTGCTCACCAAGCTCCTCTGCAATTTTTTGGTTTAATTTTCTATAAAATACACACACGATAAATAAGAGGAGAAGGAAATAAAGAAGATACCCAAAACATAACACACACAAACTTATCATTGTGACCATGACAAAGTTACTCTTCTGACAATCAGAAGAACTTTTGGAAGAATAACCAAATTGACATTGACACTCTATACATCCTCGACCTCCATCACACTATTATTTAATAAGTATTACAATATATTGTTGTAGTAGTAGATGTTTGATATCTTGTTATTATAAACAGATATATTAACTTTAAGATTGTATAACAAACTTCTTCTCCGACATCGAATATGCCATTACCACATGTAATTGGTTTGCACCCAATTTGTGGGACCAAGTAATGGACACTTTCTTTTGGATTACATAGGCAATGTTCACAATACTTACCACCATCACACTACATCTTAACATTCATTTTTTAATATTTATATTAATTAATTGTAACATGTAGAATAGAACAAACTTCTTCACCATCATTTATAATGTTATTACCACATGTCGGAACTTCACAGAATTTGCCACTTTCATTTCTCTTCATCACTGTACCTTCTGTACAATAACATGTCGGACCACAAAATGCATCGTTTTTATATGAATTGTCACACTCTTCTTCTTCGTCTAAAACACCATTTCCACACATTGAACAACCACCATAATATAAAACATACCCATCTAAACATTTACACATCCCTTTTCTTTGGTCGCAAATACCATGATCGCCGCAGTTGTTTATACACCCAACGCCAAAATGAACATCAACAAACTCCATTCGTGGTTCAATGTTTTGTGTAATTCCAATATGGTAAGTATATCCACTCTCCATCTTAAAAAGTGTTATTGAATGTATTAAATCTTCACAATTGTTATGCACATATGATACACACTCAGAAGTTGCACTCTCACACGACGCATATTTCTGACCTTCTTTATGTTTTATAATTTGAATGGACGTATCAAACTTAGTTGATATATTACATGTGTCAACTTTAACCATTTGGAAGTCAACACCAGTGATTTTGTACCACTTCACATACTGTTTTACTTTGACACACACAGACGACGAACGTTGCAGAAAATTGACTGAGAAATTTTTTGTTGTGAATGAGACGAAGTCCAACATTGAAAGTTCCTCTGCAAATGCCTCACAAACATGTTCAGTGGTTTTAATATGAATTTGAAAATCCTCAGTAATATATTGGCCAAATTGTGAATGGACAAATATATAGACTGGAATGTGTTCTTCCATTTCAATTATAAGTCTTGGATCTCTGACATATTCAGAGTACCCATCATTGGAGTCTGTGCACATTTCATTTTCATCTTCTGATGATATACAGGTGCTCATTGTAGCTATCCCCAAGCCAGACCCTTTAATCTTCTCTTGTAAGCCAAGTATACGCAATTCGTCTTCAGTGTACTCTTTTGTTGAAATGTATATGTTTTGTTTAACTGCACTTGTTAATTTAAAAAAGATACCATAAGTATATGGAGAGGTGGGTAATAAAGTCCCTGTGCACTGACTATAGAAAATTTGAGTATCGTTGCTATGAAAATCAAGAGTCAATGAACTATCCTCTTCGAGTTGATAATTTAGATTCTCATACTTTGCATTTTGTTCCTCAGATAGAGTTGAAAATGAGTCCATACAAAACTTGGGGTCTTCTATGGCAATACACCGTGACTCCCCATTCCACATATATCCAGAAATACATGAAGTACAATCAGAACTTAATCCAAAAGAAGAATTACACAAAGAACACTCATTGGGTATTACACACCCCATTGTGCACGATGATGAATATGAACACTGGAGAAGACAATGTCCTTGGTCGTCAGGATAATACCCCTCCCCACAATAACAAGACTGTGTGCAATGCGTCGTGTTGTCACAATCTTCTAAACCTTCATCCCATTTACCATTCCCACACTCTTCCACCCCTTTCACTGTTGTTTGTTGAGAAAAAAAAAGAAAAAAAACAATTAAAAGACTGTTGATTATTTTTTATTAGATTAATAAATAATGTAAATGATAAGTAATGGGCTTATAAAATACATAGAGAATAGAACACTTTTTAATTGTCAATTTATAAATTAAAATAAACACGCCTGATTGTCGAAATAGCTAACATTAGTCTTCATAACAAACTGATGTGGTTTTTTCATGTGACTTTTAAAGATCCTATCTGTGTGTTTTTCATTCACAGTCATTTTTTTATATAATAACTTGGCCTTCATACAATTAGCTTTGTTTGGATGATTATCGAATAATAATAGATGTCTATTTGGTAATAAATCGGGAGAAATACTGTTGTTACTATACTTATTATAGTAACTAAGTGTTCTAAATATAATTAATGATCTTATTTAACCGATTAAAATAAACGAGACGCAAAAAACCGCGTTTAAAAAAATAAAATTGAAATTTTGGTTATTGTTTTTGTTTAGATAAAATGTGTAAAAATATTTTTAGATTTTTTTTTAAATAAAATAACTAACAATTCTTTTGCAAACTCATTCGGCCGCACAAATCAACGAAAAATTTAATTGTAATAAGTTTGTCTTGCTGCTCCGATGTTGTCACAGTTATGATAAAGATTTTTCTACTCATTACTAGTGTCTGGGAAAAAAGTGGTCGATTATTTTTCAAACTTAAAGCTAAAATCGCATTATAATAGTTGTAAAAATTTGGTGTCTGATCTCTTGCTGTAATGTGAAAACTGCTGAAAGATGCCTTTTCACAATAGCAAATTTATATGTAATTTATTTTTAGATTTTTTTTCTCATTTTTATATTTATAGAAAAAAAAACGCAATTTTTTGCGTCTCGTGCATTTTGCCAAAGAAAAAAAATACTATTGGCAGGTTAACTGCCAATTAGTCTCATTTGAAGAATCTGTTTTATTTATATTTCTTTTTATTGTGTTATTAATAAGAAATAATAATTGGGGTTTATCATTATTAAATAGACCAGAGTTTTTAATAAAAATAATAAAAAAAAACATTTCAATTATTTCGTTCACCATATCAAAAAAAATAATATATTAATTTTTGAATAGGAACTTTTAAACTATAATTATAATTTCTAGAAAATTTAGTAAATTGACTTTACTAAGAAAATTATTTTTTTTTAAATTTACAAACAAACAACTCACCAAAAACGATGAAATCAAAAAAGTATTTTAAAAGATAAAATTAATTTCATGGAATTAAAAACTTAAAAAATAAATTACAAACTGAATGACGCAACCTTTTCTTTTAGAGAAAAAAAACTAAAAAGTTTTAGTTATTGATTGGTTTTGGTAATTGAAAACAAATTTTGTCTTAATCTAATTGCTTTACAGCATAAAAAAATTTTGGTAAAAACATTAAAAAAATGTTATAACATTTTTATATAATAATATAATAATATAATAATATAATAATACACTATAAAAATATATTTATTATAGTTCAATTATAATATCAATTAAATAATTATATATAGTTCAAATGTTATTATATTTTAAATGTTTGAAATTTTTTTAATAAAATTTTAATTATTTAAAAATGATCACATAATTAAATTAAAAAAACAATTTTTTTGTATGACTGACGAAACAATCTTTTCCTTAACTCATTGTTTTGCTATATTGACGGAACGTGTCAAAAACAAAACGAAAGAGCTGAAAGACGACAAGGTGTTTGAGATGATGAGCAAAGTGATACAACAAAACGAAAGCTCCGATAAAAATCAAAAAATATTGGAGATGGCACTTTCGCAGAAACTAAAATTCGAAACCCTCTTTTTGGAGCAAAACGAACAGCTCCAAATAATAGAAACAGAAATGGCGAAACTTCGCGCTGTCATACAAAACGTGAAAACTGAATCCGTTTCGGTACAGCAAAAGATAGACTATTTTGTTGATAGATGTGTCGATATAGAGGCGAGGAAGAGAGAGATGGAAATCGCAAAAGTAGACGAAAATTTTTATAATCAAAAAATTATATTGGAAAAATTCCGCAGTGAAAAATCTCACCAAATCGAAAAAGACAAAAAAAACAAAAACGACGAAAGGTTGTCATTTTGTCAGATCGAGAGTGGCAGAACAAACGAACACTTGGACGCGCCAAAAAAAGATGAAAAAGTACTCGGTAATGAACAAAATAGCGCAAATGGCGTTATTCATACGTCAGAACAGGAAAATGGCCAACTGCCTTTGGTAATTAAGACCGATTGTTTATGTGGCACAGAAATTCTTGCAACCAGACCCGAGTCGGATGACGAAGAAGACCCATATGATGAGACAAACTACGTTATTGAAAACAGACCAAAAACATTCTTCATACCAGAGGAGTTCAGAGAGTCCAAGTGTAAAGTTGTTGAGAGACCGACACAGGTTGCTCTTGTTCCAAAAGAAGTTCCAAACGAAATTGAAGTGGATTGTTGTTTTGAAAACGTCATCAAGTGGACTTCATTCACCAAAAGTGAAATCATTTTTCAGAGTCGAAGTATCAAAGAAAATATCAAAACTGTTTTTTTGGAGAAGATATGTGGCGTGCCCAACGTTTGTGTCATTATTACAGACGATAAGGAAAATGAATTTGGTGCGTTTTTCGAAAAGGCACTCGACACAGAAAAGGATGTTGGGGTTGATAAGAAACACTTTCTCTTTATATCAAAAAAAAGTGGAGTTTTTTTTACAACTTTAATCAAGCAAAAAGTGAATGGTGTTGGATTGGGTGTTGACTTGTTCAATTCTAACGAACTGTTTTACATTGGAAATAACAGTTTTCACTTTGTTTCGGTGTCTATTGATGAAAAGGGTGCTGCGTACTCTCTCCCCACTATTTATCAAGTTGACGACTACTGGCTTAATGGCACACAAGAAACTCCCTTTGCGGTTAAGAGTATTGTTGTAGCAAGACTTTACTAATTCCGTTATATCAAATCTATCGTTACAATACATTTTAAATGAATAAAGCAATTTTTCGTTTATAATTTAACTTCAAATTTAACCATTAAAAAATGTTTAACAAACTAAATTTTAATAGTAAAATAAATAAAAAGTATTAAACGGTCAAATATTTTCATTGAAACAATCCACAACAATCCGGGATAATAAATTACTTTTGAAAATTCTCCAAAACAAACAACTTTCGAAAACCAAAAAGAGTCATAAAAACACAAAGTCAAACCACAAAAGTAGAACTGAATAATTTAAGACAACCGAATGGAATGTCCCATATGTGGTGCCATCTTCCCGATCAACGAAATTGAAGATCACGTCAACCGCTGTCTCGATGATAATGAGGCCCGGTCCTTCACCAACCCGGCACCAGCTGCTGCGCCATTACCAACACCAAAGGCCTCTGTTCCTCCTATGCAAACAGTTACAAAGAAAAAGGACAAGTCGACGAAAGATACTTCCGACCAAATTGATTTATTAGACCATTTTTTAACGTCGTCGACGGAGTTTCCTGGAGTCTCCGAGATTCAAACGCAGCCGATAGTAGTTGAGGACCATGCGGTAACACTTGGGCAAAAGGTTGATTTTCTGATTGATTTCAACGAACTGCAATTTACGGACTTATACAACGCGTATCAGAAAACGTCGTTTTCAAAGGACTTTGTGTGTCCCCACTCGAAGATCCGGATGAGCGAAATGTTCACGCAGTGTCACATCGGCTCATCCCTCATTAACGTCACGAATGCATTGCAACCGTCCCGAACGAGTCTTCCGACACAGAAAGAACAGAAGTACTCTGTCGACATAACAATTCCTATTGGGATTGGACACAATGTGTTTCCGCTGCTCGTTGGGATGGAGTTACGCTATTTTGATGTTGTCATTTACTTTCCTAAAGAAGGGAATTTGGTCATCTTTGCGCACTCTTTCATCTTAGCAGCACGGTCCCCACTGTTTCAAGTTGAGTTGAATGAAATGGAGAGAATAGAAGGAGTCTTCTTCTATGGAGTGACGGAGTATTCGTATACCAGTTTCTTTGCGTTGATCAATTATATGTATAAGGGAATCACTAAACAAGCATTTCTCGACCAAGCAGCGGAGCTGGAAGCCGTGTATTCGCCATCGAATAACCCGATCATAGAAGACATACTGGCACTGAAGAACCCGCACTTCTATGACGGGTTTTTCTCGGTGACGAAGAACAACGTCGAGGTGAAACGAATTGGATTCAGTCGACTCCTCTTCTTCATGTTCTCCGAGTACTTTAATGAACTCTTTGAACGAAAACAGCGAGAGTATAGTAACACGGGAAGACTCCGAAGGTATAGCGAACTCCCTCACCGTGTCGGGCAAAGTGTGTTTGACACGATAATTTCTACGTTAAAAATGGATAATAAGTCTCTTCCAACGGGCGATCCTGAGCCGTTTGTATTTGTGATCAAAGGAGACAATGAAGAGGTGGATGTCGTCGAACAAGCGATCTACGAAATAGTCTCGTTCATCTATCACAACGGCGTTGGGAAACCATACGTCTTGGATGAGTCAAAAATGGACGATATGACGAAACAACGAGTAGTTCCGATCGTGCTGCACTTTTCGTATTTATTCAAAGAGACGGTGTTGAGTATAGAGTGTGAAAAGGTCCTCAAAAAGAACCTTCTGGTCAATACGATGAATTGCAATGGACTCTTCTTGTCGATGAGAAATGCAAGTTGGAAGTTCAAGAGGTTTTTAGTTGAGAAATTGGCGGAGGGAGTGTTGGGGTGCCAACACCTTGAAAACATTGTGCGTTGGACGGACGACGTCGTCGACTGTTTCTATGAGATTTTATTTACATATGGATTACTCTGCGAGGAAGGGCCGAGCGAGACGAATCTTCGGAAGATGGAGACATATGGTGTGTTGGGTGTCGTTTCTTTCTGTCGGGAGAGCCACAAACAGAGCGACAAAGTCAGTGAATTTTGTTTAGCCTATTTTGAGCGCGTCATGCAGCGACGGGACATCATTGAATTTTTAGGAGTGAATGGGTATGAAGGAATCCGGCCATTAATATGTGCGTGTTCTGTAGGAGGGACGAGGAGTAGGAAATATCAAGAGAGGAGTGTGGGGATACTTCGGAGAGTACTTAGTGATGTAGTAAAGGAGTATAGTAATTTGGCATTAAGTCGAGGGAACACATATGTGACGGAGGCATTGTTCCGGATGGTTACAGATACATTAAATAGTGATAGTTTGTTGTTTTCAAATAATAATAGTAATCTTATAAGGAAGTGAAATGACAAGAAGTGCAAGTGACAAAGATGTGTAATGTGTGTTATGACAATTTAGGGTTGCTGAGTAAAAGATGTGAAATGTGTGGACAACGAATGTGTAAGAAATGTTGCTTGAAAGGGTTTGTATTGAACTTTAATAACAATCAAAGAACACTGAAAACACTGTGTTATAGATGCCATAGAATATGGTGTTTCTTGTCGTCTGTTGATTACTACCAAATTAGTAAATAAGACTGTGAGGAGAAAGAATCACTAGAAAAGAACTAATTCCATCACTTTGTGTTTTTTTGAATGCGTCGATTTTCGACTTTTTCAACTTTTTATGATTTTTTTTTGAATTGGTCAAAATTCGACTTTTTTTGGAAACTCAACAATTGAAGAAAAAGGTCAATCAAAATTTTCGATGTTTTTTAATGAACCGAATTTGTCAAGAACGCCACGTTCGAGTACACTTTGGTTGTCAATAAAGAGATGCTCGACAGTTTGTGGAGTGTTGTGAATGTCGAATTTAGAAAGACTGATTATGAGGGTTTTCAAGTTTGAAAGATCTTTCAAATTGTTGATGGTGAAATCTAGGCAACCAGAGACCACCACTTTTCTCACAGAACATGGTAATAAGCACTTTGTGTGGTAACAATTTGCACTAAATTCAACGAGAAAAATCAAAGAAGTGAAGTCGACAAGTTCAGTCCAATGACAAATGTTGAGGGAAAGTCGAGTTAAAGTGTTTGGAAGAGAAAATGGACAATTGACAACGTAATTGAGTTGTAACTCCTTTAAATGAGTAAAGTGTTTCATGCTCATCTCAAATTGTGTTTTAGGAGTTGATAATAATGTGTAACTTTGAAGAGTATGGAGAGGAGTAAAGTGAATAGGTTCTGAGAGCAATTTCTTGAGAAGAGGAGGTAAAGTTTGGTGTATTGAATGAACTGATTTCAGTGTATTTAAATGGGTGAGTGAATCGAGCCCATCACAGGTACAATCTTTGATTTCTAGTACATGGAGTTTATCAAAGTTTAAATTGGCTATAAAGTGGACACCTCTTAGAACCATTTTTTCAACACAAGTCATATTTTTGGCTGTGACCGAGCCACCACACATTTCAAAGTGAATCACCCGTCTTGGAATTAGAAAGAAAAATGTATTTGTTTCATTACTAAATTGACAATTGATTTTTAATTTCTTCAAATTTTGGCAGTCACAGAAATTCTGTGAAATATTGTCGTTTGGAACACTTTTTAGTTCTATTTTTAACACTTCGACATTTTCTGGTAGAATTAATGGATAAACTCCTTTAATGTTAATGAAATTATTGAGAAACGAAATATTTCCTGAGACGTTCGATATTTTGTATGGAAGATATTGTTTGACTTTTTTCACAATTTCAGGAAGATCACATTTGTGGTACCACAACTGCAAAAAGTCGGTGTTTTCCAGATTTCGAAAATTAAAAATCTGTTCAGAATCAAGAACGTTACTATTTTGTGCTAATTCATTAATTTCAGTTGTACTTAATATCCACTTGTTTCCTATTATATAAACGTCTTTGTTAAGTAGTTCTGTATATTCCTTATAACAAAATATGATTCTTTTTGTATGAATATTTTCCCCAATTATTTGTTGGGCACAATTCAGTAGTGTAATATCTTTAAATAAAAAAATGATGGTATGGAAGTTATAGAACTCGATATTTTGCAGAAATGCCACATCAATTCCCTTCTCAAAAATAATTTTGACTGTTTCAAAGTGTCTTGATTTGTCTGTGAAAAATTGGGAAAGCTCACCTCCACGAGCACACAGACGAATAGTCACGTATTTCAAACTTGTAAATAGACTCAAGTCGTATGCCTCTTGATATGCAAAAATTGAGATCTTTACCAGTTTCTCAGCAATTGGTAGTAACAAATGTGCGTTTACCACATCAATTTCATCGAATATATAGATATTATCAATTCGTTGAGGATTATACGACAACACAAAAGGTGAGAATGTATTAAACGCAACAGAGATGAGTCTTGGAAAGAGGCGAATTTCCTTTGTAAAACACATTTGTTTCTCTGCTTCAGTAAAGTAAGAAGGAGTGGAGTAACAAGGGTTTTGTTGTAAAGCCTCAACTGCGTCTTTACATTTTTTATTGATCATTGTAAACTCTTCAGCGTCTTGTGTTGATGACAAATAAGGCACAAGTAAGCTCAAAAAGTGTTTCGAAAGACCACAAGACCACATCAATTTTGTTTTTCAGTCCGCCTTAGTGTTCTCTCGAGTCATCTCTTTTAAAACTATACTTTATAGAAAAAAGTATTATAATACCAACTCTCACCACATTTTAAATAGTTATAATAAAATTACTAAAATATAATATACTCTATAAACAGACAGACGACTTTGAGTACAATATAACACATTTAAGTAACAACACAACGCGCGTCTCCCCTCATTGTTGGTCCAGTGCTGTGAATAAAGTAATTTTCTTTCCGGTAGATCTTCCTGTCGATCTACACAAATGTCCCGGACTCTGATCGTTGATTTCTCTCTCTTGGAGGGGTTGTGTAGTTTCCACGATAATTTCCTGCGGGAGAAGTAGTCTGGTGTCTGGACTTTTTCGTGGGGAGAGTTGAGGGAGTTGTGAGTCGTGGAGACTTCCTTTTCTTGAACCGAATGTGAAAACGGAAGGGACGTCGGAATAGATTGAAGGAGTTGGACAGAACTCTTTCCTTTGTTGAGAAGGGCTAAGTTCAAAAGAAGAACCAGTCATCCCATCGAGGCCGGCTTCTTTCATAGTTTTTAAGTTAATAGAATTAATACTTTGGGAACGAATAGAACGGCGTGCTGATGGTTGTTGGACATATAACTCTTTTAATTCAGGAGGTGAAATGGTGTCGACTTCTTTTAAATCTTTCATTTCAGACTCGATCCGAACAGATAAAATAGTCGAATGATCAACTTTCCCACATAAACCAACTTTCCGTTTCATCCCGGGATTGTTCTGATGAAACTCTCGAAGGTCTTTAGTAATTGTAATAACTTCATTACATATCAAGCGAACAAATTCATTCATCGCAATCGTCGAATTTAACTTCTCCGTGAAAAACTTGTTCAAAAATTCAGACTTTTTCCCTCCAACAAATGTGATGTTGTCTGATACTCCATCAGTTGTACAGATGATCACATCCCCTTCTTCTACTTTCTCCTTTTTAATATAACAATTGTCTAAATGTGGAAAAATTCCATTTTGAGACCCTATCCATCCTATCCTGTTATTTATAGTTTATATAACTAAATATTATAATAGAATAATGTATTATAATATAATTATTATTATAGTTTAGAACAAACCACCACAACTTTGAGACTGAGACAGTGGACGACACCAATTCTGATCGAGTGGACGAGCTTTACGCTTTTTATTGTTGACTATAAAGGCTTGACAGTCACCGACAGACAACACCATGACATGTGGTTTTGTTGTTTGATATGTGATTCCTATTAATATAGTAGTTTCTCCTATTCCTTGTTGTTTGTTTGATTTGACTAAAATCTACTTGTCATTGGATTTCGATACAAAGCGTTTTGTGATTATTAATAACTTTCTATTTATTTACTAGTATTCAAGTATGAGCGTATGAAACTATTCATTGTAGTAAATATATTATACTCATCTAGTATTACAATGATACTACTTGAGTTAGTTAAATGTATAGTATTAATATGTACTATATTAAATAAGTTAATTTATAGTAAAAAGAAACAAACGTTATAATGCGCATAATAGGCCGAATCCATCAGTAACGACGCTAACTCCTTTTCCGTTTTGCACTCGGCGATCTTTTCTTGGATCAATTCAAAGACCGCATTGAGCCCGATATTCGACGCGTCTTTACCTAACTCCCCCCACCCTATTTGTCATCAACTCGTCTTTCTAATTAACTAATTAAAGAACTATAATGTCAACTATCAAACCACAACCGTCACAGATCGCAAAGACATAATTGTTCTTCATTCGCAACACACCAGCTACGTCGGCGTTTGGTTCGCCATGTTTAGTACCTCTTATGATGGGGTATGTTGAAAATGAAGCGATAGAAAAGGACTTGTCATACCCTATAATGTCACATGGCTCTAATGTGAAGTGCTTTGACAGAGACGTTGTAGTTATTTGTTGTATTGGAGTCTTCGGAGTTGACTTAATGTAGTGTTTAAATGCTTTGTAAAAGATCGGCATCAACTTTTCTTCCATCTCTTCTGCGTTTCGAGTTGCTAAGAAATTGTGGGGTAACTAGTTGCTCTTTTATTATCTATTTTTATAACTTCAAATCATAGTGTTCTATCTTCAACATACTTCATTTTAATTATTATTATTGGCATAAAATTATAGTAACTTCAATTTATTATTTACTAACTATATATAGCTATTTTATTTTAATATTTACTATTTGGTAATTATGTATTATTAATTAGATAATAGACTTATTATTTTACTAACATTTACTGTATTATTTTTATTAATAGATATTAATTTAATAGTAAAAATAAAATTGGTATATGGAATTATTCTTTTTTATTATTATACTAGAAATATAATACATTTTTAAATGGACTTTTAATAACACCTATTATAATGAATTATTCTTTTTTTAAGGCCAAAACAGGTGTTTTCGACTATATTCTTATTTTGTTTTAAAAAAAAACTTGTTGTTGTTTAATAAAAAGACATTAAAAACCTTAAAAATGTACTGCGAATTCGGGTTCTAGGGGATTTTTTTTACAATTTGTTTCTTACATTTCTATTTTCATTATTTTTTGAAATTTTAAAAAATGTTTTCCTTCTTTTTAACTGTTTCTTTGGGATTTTAGATTTTTTTTGGATGAAAAAACACAATTTAACGTTTGCAAAATCATCTTTTATATCGCAAATAATAGAGTAGTATTTACCAGTGATTGATAGATTATCATTAATATATTATTTTTTCAAGTTTGATTATTAATACAATTAAACAATTTTAATAATTTCAAACCATCTCTCTCCTTTTTGTAAAGAACTTTTACCCATTGAAAAAATTGTTCAATTAAAATTTGTATGTGCTTTTTATTAGTTTTTAAACCTTTTTGCAATTATAATGTTATTAAACTATTATTTTATTATTAAATTGTTATATATTTTTTATAAAAGTGGGGTAACTATAATAGTTTCTAATGGTTTATTTGCTAACTTTATATAATAAAGTAATAAAACAATTTAAGAATATTTTATATTTAATCTGAACTAAAATTATTCTTTATTTAAATATTACATCCACTTACTAATTATAAACAGAATACTTAACTTAAAGGACAAAACAAATAAATTAAAATACTATTGTTTTTAAGAAAAACAATAGTATTTTAAACTAAATATTTAATTATTTTTATTGAAAATAATAAAAAAATAGAAGATACAATCAATTCGACGTATTAATGACTTCTTTCTCTGTAGTTTTTTCATTGACGAAGTCAAAGACTTTTTCGGCAAGTAATTTTGTATTTTTTATAGTGTGGAACTCCCCCTTTAAACTTTCGAGTTTTGTGGTGTTCCCCATTTTTGTAGCAACATCAAACAAATGTTGAGTCATTGATGGGTGAACTAATTCGTCTAGTTCTGAAGTTATAAAAAGATAGTTAGTATTTATAGTAACATTTTTAATTAAAGTTAAATTGTCCCATCGGTCTTTGACGAAATACCAAACAAATCGACTTGCTGGGATTACTATATTTGCCATATGTTGCAGTGTGGTGGATCCATTCTCCAAAACGATTTTTCTTTCAATCACATTCTCATCATTTTGTTGTTGTAGTTTATTTAATAGTTTCAAAACCATTGACACCCCGAGTCCTCTCCCATAAAATACTATCGTTTTTGTGTCGATCCCAAAACTCTTTACTGCGTCGTAATAATTCAAAACGTCTTTATCCATTTCACTTTCTTCGGGCTTCCCAGTCGATTTGTCAAAACCACGGTAACTCGCAAAAACGATATTAAACCCTTTTTGGTACAATTCTATAAACAACGAAAAACTATCTAAAATAGTTCCAAAAGCATTTGGAAAAATTAACACGGTGTGATGACTTTTTGTCTCGTTTTGTAAAGCTCCATATAAATAGATTTTGTTCATGTCATTTGTCATTATCTCGATCTCCTTTAAGTCAAATGGAAGATTGTAACTTTCCTTCAACTCAACCATTGACGGGAGATTGCGCTGTGTCGGACTAAATATGAGTTCTTGCTGTCGTGTGTATAACAAAGCACAACAAAAAATCGCAACTAATAAACTCAGAACAGCAGTAATCTCCCAAAACATCGAACACACTGTATTATTTTGTTATGGTACTTTTTATTAACAAATAAATTAACGTATTTTTTTTTAATTTTCGTTTTTTATCTCATTTTTTATAGTAAACAATTGGTTTGTTTATTAGAAAAAATTAATAAATTTTGTTACAAAAAACTCCTCGTTAATTTAATATAATGAGATCGATACAACTCTGAATATTAGTATTTAGTATAAAAAGTTAATAGTACATTGAATTAGAGTAATAGTACTGAAACTGTATAACACTTAACTAAAAAAATGGCAAAGATCAAATAAGCAAAATGAAAAACAAAAGTTTTCACTTTTTCTGTTGTTGAGTTAGAGAAACCGAAGAAAAAGGTTTAGAAAAGAAAAGACAAAAAGTGACGAACAAGTTGCATGAAATTCTGAGATCCTGTAGCGGAAAGGTACAAAGAGGGGGGAGATGAACTGTAAAAGTTAAGTGATGAGTTTGAGTAGTTCGAATTCCGAGAGTTTTGAGAGTGATGATAAAAATCAAGAAGTTGTTCCAGCGAAGTTAGATTTGATGAAACATTTCGACAAAATCCCCGAAAAAGTCGATGGTGTTGAATATGTTCTTTGCAAGCATTGCAAAGCGGAGTCTGAAAAAGGTGGAGATAATAAAATCAAACGAATCAAATGCAAACCGGAGAACATGAGGAGGCACTTGAACCACTGTCGCTTTTATTTAGCGGAGAACAAACAAACCCTAGCAAAGCCAAAACTACCTTCGTTAGGGGGGAAGAGGCCGCGCGACACCAATTCGCCGAAAAGTGAGCAAGAGGACAAAATCGATCATTCCGAAAGTGAACGAAGTGAGAAGAGAGATGACGACAAAAAAGAGGCAATTGTTGTCGCACCTTTAGTTATTACATCCCCCGGCTGTAAAACAATCACAGTAAAGTATTCAAGAAGAGCTGAATCAATGGATATCACCCCTGGAATGAGTGCTGAACAATTGATCGATGGGTTGAAGGAAGTGTTTGGAATCCCTCAAGAGACTCCGTGCTTCTTGAGAAGAGAAACAGAGAAAAAAGTTCTTCTAGGAAGTAATGAAATTGTTCTCCTCATCAACAATGGCGAAACTCTCTGTTTGAAGAACCCAAAGTAATTTTTTTAATTGTTTTCTTCAATATTAATGTCTTGAAGTAGATTCAATTTTATTATTCATGTATTATAATTAAACTATATTAGAACTATATTAGAGATTACTTAATTATATTATATTATATTATATTAAAAAAAAAATATTTTATTTGACCTCTCATTTAAAACATCCTAAAACTAATTATAATACACAAATATTTTTTAGTTTTACCAATTTTAATCGAAATAAAATAATAAATTTAAATTTACATATGTTAATTACAAATATTAAAGATATTTTAAACTGTTAATAATATTTTAATATAAAATTATTAATAAAAAAAAACTATATTTATAAGTTTCAATAATATTCTAATTTACTCTGTGATAATAATTGGGTTAAAAAAAAGGTAAAAATCCCACTAAAATACCAAAAAAAAATAATAAGAAAACAACTCAATCCCGAAGAGTTGGCGGAAAGAAAGCAAAGATAAGACTGGAAAAAAACGGAAAAAAGGGTTGAATTACAAGATCCTCAGTAATACCAAAAAAAATAAAGAATGAACTATGAATTTCTAATGTCTCTCAAATCGGGCCAAAGCGATAAAACCGCTATGAAGGTGATAACGCTGGGCGAACTTGGGGTAGGGAAGACGACGTTTGTAATGAAGTACTGTGGGGAAACGGATAAGGACACTTTCGACTATTTGACAAAACGAGTCAAAGTTAACAACGTCGATTACACCGTCATTATGTGCGACACACAAGGAATGGAAGATGTGTCTTACATTACTGCGTATTACTATAACGATGCAAAAGGAATGCTTTTGATGTTCGACTTATCAAACCTGAAGAGCTTAGACAACTTACAGGGGTGGTACAACACGGCAGATATGTACGCACCAAAAGATGAAAGTCTGAAACCAGTTCCAATTTTGGTCGGAACAAAGGCAGATAGCCAGACGGAATCCGACGAAACAATCGAAAATGAAAAAAACAAAAATTTCCGAAATTTCAAACTGTTTAAAGTCTCTTCAAAGAACGGGACGGGAATGGACGAGCTCATGAATGAGCTTGTCTCGCAGATTGTCGCAAAATTCTTTGTGGATAAAAATAAAAAGCCTCAAAAGGAGAAAAGCGGCTGCTGCTTACTTGTCTAGTCTAATCACTCTCTGTTCAATTTAATCGTTTTGTTATTCGTTGGTCGTCCCTTCCAACAGTGACAAAGTCACAGTTTTATCGTTATTTGTGTTGGCAAACACTTCGGATGCAGAATCGCAAGGATAAAAACAAAGATTAGAATACCTTGAGAGGTGAGTGTGGAAAATAATAAATATAACACTTTTTGATTGTTTATAAGTAAAAGTGAATCACTGGCATTGTTTTATTGAGAAACATAATTAACTCAGACTAACTAAATTATTGAGTTAAAAGTGAAATTAGTGATATTAATTATTATTAGTGAAAATAAACTGTTTTTTGAATAAATTTTGTGATTCATATTTTTGTGATAAATAAATAATATTTACAATAAAAGTTAAAAACTTATTAACTTTTGTTCTTAAATTATTTTAAAGTAAAATTAAAATCGATAATTTTTTTTTGTCAAAGATATTTTGTTATTATACTAAATAATCAAAAAACTATATAAACAATAATTTTTTTCGTTTTAATTAAATAGGCGAGTGGCCCACTAAAATACATTTGGTTCCATTTTTACCTTTTCACGAGTAAAACTACGCCACTTCAAACTAAACAGTAACCAAATATAGTTTTTTATAAACCATTTCCCACGCCACTAAATTATTCAATCTACAATTATTTTTAAGTAATTATCAATAATTAACAATAGTTTATCTGCCACCAACTCAACAAAAATTCAAAAAACATGATAAAAATCATAATTGTGCCACCCCAGAAACAAAAAACCAAACATTTGGTTTCTTTACAATTTACATATAATTACCAAAGCAATTTTACGTCAAAGTAAAAAAATAACAAATGTTCAATCTAATCACAACTCAATATAACAATGCCAAAGGCATTAAGAATGATAAATAAAACAACTCAAATGACAAGAAACAACATTGTTAAAAATTAAAACAGAAAAAAAGCCAAAGATTAACAACAAATTGTACAGGCCAATTACCATAAACAAACACAAACAAAAGTCTGCTTTGTTTCAAACAGCTAGAACACACTTTGATCTTCAACAAATTATTTTTAATCAAACAAGTTCAATTTCACAAGTACCAATAACAAGTAAAACAGATAAACAACTAGCGAAAAAACAAATTACTGAAGTTATAAACGAAAATAATGTCAAACATTTAATACTTTTCAGTTATGAAGAATTCCTCAAAATATTTGATTATTCAATACACATTTGTAGATATGACACTTACAACGATTGGATAAAATGTTATGAATTAAGACCATCATTTTCTCATATAATACAAAAAAGTACAATGACTCTTCAGTTCATTCTGTTCTATTTGATATATTATTGCCATTTACTCCCAACAGAAATAATAGCATATAATACTATGCTGTTGTACAGATTTAGTAATTCAGTTGAAGAATCTTCCAAGAAAAGATATGCAGGGAATCTACTCTATTTAGCAATAGAGTTGTTTTCACCAGCATTGTATGACTCATGCGTCGAAAGTTTGAGGCTTGTTCCAACAAATTTAGTTCAACCATTATCAATTGGAAGAAGTGAAGTATTTTCTAAAATAATCGAAAATTTAGAGAATACGATAATCATAACAGATGGAAGAAACCATGACATACCTAAACAAACAGTTGTTGAACATAACAAAAAGTGTCTCAACACTAAATACTTCAATCATAAAAGCAACAAAAATGGGGTCAAGTCAATAGTGTGTATTAACAGATCAGGATATTCTGTATTTTGTTCCAACTCTTATAATGCTGCTGTCCATGATAGCAATGTATTCAACATGGAATTTGATTACAATTATTTGGGTGGCAATTACTACATCATGGGAGATGGTGGGTTTATGGGAGTTCCTCGAATGATTTGCCCATACCCCCAAAAGTGTTGTGAATCGAAGTGTCTGAATAGTTATTTGAGTGAACCTAATGTCAAGTGTGTAATAATTGGGTCGTTCGAGTTTAATGAAAGTGTTTGGTTTTTAACAATTGAAGTAATTGTTGGGTTTTATGGTGTCTTTGATAAAGATATGGTATTTGAAGGGGAATGCAAAGGTATTACAAACAACCAAATGGTTGATATGTTTGGTGGTGGGTCATCTTCGTATTGGTCTTTGAAATTAAATAGTAAAGGTAAAGTGTATATCGATGAAACGGTGGCAAAAACAACAAAGGAGTATTTATTGTTACAGCAAATTACAATTGAAGGATAAGTGCAAACAACTACATCAACGATACACTTGAAAGGAGTAGTCAGTAACAGTGTTTATGGTATTAATGCCAACCCGGAATATTTGAAAGCTTATAATTACTGCCTTTCGACGATACGCTTGCCCATTGAACATTTTTCGGTAGACAAAACTGCTGTTTCCAAATATCAAGATGTGAATATATGTTGAAACTGTCTCATTATGATTTGTTTAATAAATTTATAACAGCTTTGAACAACATACACATTCACTTCAGACCACTTATAAATTTTCCATTTATGTTGTTTTCAAATGACAAAGACAGTTGCCTAAATTGTAAACTGTGTGAGTTAAATGAAATTAAATTGCCAGAATGTGTTAAGAAATTGATGAACGAACTAATTCCAAACAAAACTATCGGAACGGTATCTGATGTAAACGAAACCAAGAGAAAAGCCGCCAAGAAAAACAGAGTTAACAAATGTGATGCGCATGTATCAATTTTGAACAAAGATTATTTGAAACAACCTGGAAGGAGCGGTCAAACAAATATTAATGATTTGACAAAACAAATCGTCAACTGTATGTATATCAAAACAAGTGTAATAAGTGCAAACGACGCGTTGTTTGTTGATTATATCAAACAGTTTTGTGAGAGTGGGCAATCTTATGCAACTGAACAAACACCGATGATTGATTTGAGTGTTAGAGTTGGTGCCCAAAGAAAACAAAGTCTTTAAGAAAAGTGGATACTATTGGTCTGTTGGATAGTAATTTAATGGAAAGATGGGTTATAAATATGACACCACTCATGAACAAAGATGTTTATATTTGTCCTGACTATACCTTTACAATGGTTGTTGCTCATAAAAAGCAAGACTCTCATACTACAATCACGGGTCTAACAAAATTGCTTTTGGGCAATCATAATGTTAACTGTATTATTGAAAATAACCTTAAAACTTGTATATTTATTCCCTGTAATCACGGAAACGTCCATTGGACTTTGATGGTATGGATTATTTCAACTGATACTCTTTATCTTATTGATTCGTTGAATAATGAAGATGTTTACTCTCACAAAGAAATGATCGAAATCATACAAAAAATAAGAAAGAAAGTAAAAGTAGAAATAATCAAAGTTGAACAAAAGAGTGATGGTTGGAGCTGTGGATATAGGATGATATATGCAATTAGTGTATTAGCTTGTAAAGACAAAGTGCCGGATCCTCATTTGTTAGAAATGTTTGACAAAACAGATTATTCTATGTTTCTCTCAGAAGTCTCAGAATTAATTCAAATTAATTGACTTTTATTTGTTTTTCAAAAAACAAAAAAATATTATTATAATTGAACCATTTTGAATATAATAATTGGGTGGCGAGTAAACAATAGTTTAAAAAAGTTTAATTATAATTAATTCCAAAACAATTAAAATCTGTGGCAATAAAAAAGGTAAGTGGGCCACTCGCCTATTAAATACAATTTTTTTCATTATTATTTCGCTTGTGTTTATAGTAAATATAATCATAAAAATATTATTTTTAATACTAAACATTTCCTCCATAATCAATTGTACCAATTGTCAAATGATAATAAAATTACAATAAAAATAAATGTAAATTATTAAAAACTAAAAAAACGAATTTTTTTCCATTATTAAATGTTATGACATATTAATAAAAAAAAGAGATTTGTATTTACAGATAGTTAATTATACAAATAAAAATAATATAAAGTTTTTTTTTTGATATAATATATGAAAAACAATAATCATGAATTATTATTCTTTTTTAACATTTAAAAAAATGACCCTGCACATAATAACAGAAAAACCATAAAATAACATCACTTTTATACATTTGTTATAATTTCCATTTAAAAACATAAAATCTTATACAATTAACTTACTACCAAACAACTATTTCAAATAAAAGTTCTGTTCATGACTCCAAAAATGGAGAATCATTTCAGATTCTACTCAAAACTTCTTTATCAAAAAAATATTTTTGAACTAAACGATATTTTTTAAGTTCTATTGTGATTATTTTTATTTCTACAAATAGTTTTTAACAGAGCAGTTTGTTTTACTTTTTTTAAAAAATAGAAATACTATACTAAAAATAACTATTATCATTTAGTTTATCACTTTTTATTTTGGTATGTATGGAAGAAATGCCGAGAACTTAAAATAAAAATGAACAAAACTTTATTCAACACTTTATTAAGATTTCACACCTCCTTTTTACTATTAGTTGGTTGATTTCTTTCGACTTTTAAAAAGAAATATTGGGAGGGTAGTTTTTATAATAGTAATAAATAGTTCCAATTGTCGGGAAACAAGACCGACTCTGGAATTCACGCAAACGAATATTCAAGACAGTTTATTTGTATTATTTGCCACAATAAAACATTAATAAGTCATAGTTTTTCTTTCTTAATAATAAGTGACTAATATAAGACAAAACCCATCCAAACGAACACACAAATACCACAAAAGGAGAAATGCCATGAAAAAGAAGGAAATAGAGAAAAATGCAAAACACGACGTGGAACCACCACAAAAAGAGATATATAAATAGATTGAGGGACTGGGATATTCAGAGATGTCGGCTAAAACGTGCTGTATTTGTGGGAAGAGTGCATATCCAATTGAAAGAACCAATGCTGGTGGAAAGGATTATCATATCGCTTGCTTCAAATGCAAGACTTGTGGTTTGAAGTTGAACAACTCCAACTTCTATTATGACCAACCATCCGAGTCAGTCTATTGCAAAAACCACGTCCCAAAGAAGACTTTCACTCAAGTCACCGACTCCGTTGCTATGAAAGCTGCTTTGAACGCTCCAAAAAAAGAATGTGAGAACCTTGGAACTGTCCAAAAGGGCGCTGGAGGAAAACCACACGACGTCGTCTTCGGTGCTGGTGCTGAAGGCGCTTCTCCAAGACAAGGAGAACAAGCCCCAGCTGAAGAAGTTCAAGAAGAACAACAAGAATAATTCAATCATCTTTTATTAGATTTGACAACTTTGAGGAATTCATTTTATCATAATTATCAGTTCTTCATTTCTTATTTAGTTCTAATCGTTATTGTATTAACATTTTTTTATAATATTTAACTATATTTTTATTATAAAATAATAACACACAATTTTTTGGTCTTGGTGCGATCACCATTTTGATTTTTGTAATGTTTTTGTATTCCTCTTTTTATCGCCGACAATTCTTAAGTTTTTTATAATGAATGTGAGTATCTAGTTTTTTGATAAAATAAAATTATATTATTACTGTTGATGTAAAGTATATAATTTAAAAATATAATTATATAGTATTATTAATTTTTAACATTGTTTTTATTATCAAAATCTTGATTGAAATAATGACAATATACAAAAAATCGAAAAAAAAAGAAATTGAGAAAAACTAAAAACGATAAAAATGTCATATTTTTGAGTTTTTCAAATAACTTAGCAAAATTATAATAAAATGAATTAAGCTTAATAGTTCATTAAAACGGCTAATATCTCAATCTCTCACTCGATCAAATTTTAAACAATTTAAACAAAAAAGAACTTAATATCCATATCAATCACAAATGACAATGGTAGAAGAAGATAAGGTTTTTACTTTCTCATTTAATCAAATCACAAGACAACCCGGAACAAAACACTGACAATAAGGTGAATCCGTTCAGAGATGAATATCAAGCACCAGCCTCTGACGACAAGACTTTAAGTTGCTCTGTCAAAGTCTTAGCAATTTTGTCAACTGCTTTTGGCTTTGTTGGGGCTTTAGTTGTTTTCTTGTTAGAGAAAAAGAACAAATACATCAAATTGGTTTCATGCCATTCCCTTGTATGGCATGTCGTGTTAGACTTCTTACTCATCCTCTTTGCACTTCTTATGTTCTGCAATCACTGGTTCACTTACACTTTGTTCGCTCTTTACTTTGTAGCTTGGATCGTGTTCTCAATCTTCTTGATCGTTATGGCTTTCTTCAGAGCTGAGTCTGGTGAAGCCTTTATGGTACCTGGTGTATCAATTTTAGTCGAGAAACTCGTTTACTTGATCTAATTTACGTATTATGGTTCTTTTCTTATTCATTTTAATTTCATTCGTTTCTTAGTATTATTCTCTTATACTTATTTATTTAAGATTTAATAATTTAAATTTATTTAACTCTTCTCTACTATAATTATTAGATATAAATAGTAATATACTTTTTATTATACATTCTATTATTTAAAACTATAAGATTATAGTAATGAGAAAAGTATTATACTTTACTAGTAAAGAACTATTTGCTTATCAACATCGACAATAACAAAAAGAATAACATTTTAATAATAAGTTCAATAATTGGCGTTGTCAAGAAGAAAGGCAAGAGCCGCTTCGATATCGTTGTTTGTGTTATTAAGAGCAAATGTAGCTTGTTCTCTTGAGAAGCCACAGTCCATCACTTGTTGAATGAGTTGTTCTCGATTGGGTTGAATATTTTGTTGTTGAGGGGGTGTCGTCTGTTGCCTTCCGTTTTGTTGTGCGAGGCGCATTTCGTCAAGGAAATCGCCTTCAAGTTGTCTTCTCTGAGTTTTGTCAGTTTGAACGAACGTGAAAGGCGTTTGGAACGAATTTACACATTGAAAAAGTTTCTGAAGTTTCGAAGATGAAAATGAGACGAAGAGAGTGTTAATAGGTTTAAAACTAGTGATGAAGAAAGCGATTAAGCCTATAACAATATAGAATGGACTACTTTTGAAGTTATTTAATACAATCTATAAGTTACTATACTATTTAAAAATATAATATTATAATAATATAATAATATAATAATATAATAATATAATAATATAATAATTGTTATTACTATTGTTTTATAATATAATGCAATATTAATATAAGAGTATTTGAGAATACAAAAATAGTATTTGTTACTAGTAACAAACCATCACATAGGAGAAATAGACAAAAACGTTGTCAGACACTTTAAAGACAGTGAAATTGATTTTCATAATGGGCAATACCTCAAGATAGAAGTATATGAGAAATACGGTATGAGACGATACCAAACTCAAAAAAGATCCCGATAGTCTCACCACAAGAAAAGAAAATAATGTCGTTGTGATGAAGACCACTAAATGATAATTGAAAAAAACTTGACTGGACCATCTTCGTTCGAGTACGCGAAAAAAGTAAATCAAGAGAAGGGAATACACCGTCTGACTTATTGATGCTTGACATAACTGTGTCGTCAAAACAGTCCACGGGCGATACCGTGATGACGTTGTGGATATAAAAAAGTCCTTTCCAAAAAAGTTGAAATATGACAGAAAAGAGATGGAAAGAGTCGTAACAAAGAGAAGAAAAGAGACGGGCGCTCCTTCAAATCCAGCTTTCATTTTATATTCCAGTTATTCCGTTTCACTTTTCTTTCTATTGTGATTAACTAGTGTTCATTAGTATAAATTACTATAAAAATCAATCAAAAATCTCTGTTCTGTTTCTTTATTTTTTAATTAAATAAACCATTTTGAATTATTTTTTCTTTAGTTTTATAAACTATATTTAATTTCTTTTTAAATAATTAAAAAATGATTATAATTATTAATAAATTATTATTAATTTATTAATAATAAAATAAACGAAACGACTTTAAATTCCATTACAATAGATTGGTAAACTATATTTATTACTACAAAGATTATTAATTAGAACCAAACTATAAGAAACAATAACAATATGAGACAACTATCTAGTGAAAATATACGAAAGAAAGTGAGAAGATAATACACAATCACTTTGCCCATTTGAGAAGGACGGACTCCTTAAGTAAAACTGGATCAGCAAGTAGATTACTGAGTTCCATCTCATCTCCGTCATAGTTATCAATTAAAGCTTCTCTATTAGTTCTTAAAAGGACAAGCATTTCGTTGCTTGTTCTTTCTTGGTCTTTAGTCATATAGTAAGACCTAGGCGTGTTTGGTGCCAACACTTCTTTAGTGATGATATCGATGAGTTCTTGAATGACATAGAATTCCTCATTCTTTTGGATGACTTGTTTCCCGCAGACGATTGGTGTGATGAGGGATTGGATGTACTTAAATAAGTTTGGCATCTTCATAAAAGGGATTAACAAGTATCTCATGAAGAAGAGTGTGTTAACTCCAATGAGAGCTTCTGTGCTATTTCTTTTGATCAGAACTACTTTATATATGCCGTGGATGACCCACAAGAGATTCTTCGGGATGATCCTCTTCGACTCATTCAAGAGAGATAAATACGTCGAGACTATCGATGAGTACATCGTCGTACTCGCACTGCTTTTATCGTCAAATTGGATCGCAGACAAGAAGTCCAAAAGTGCTGAAGACGTTTCTTTGACAAAGTCCGAACAATGTTTGTTTAAGTAAAAGATATATGTCTTTGAAAAGATGGTGTTCCCTCTAAAAAGAGGGTTACACATATTCGTTTGTTCAACTTCAAATTTCGCAAGCGTTTGTAACAGCTGTGGTAATAATTTCCGAGCAGTAAAATAGTTCATTAAAACGTCAATGTTTCTATTCTCACAGTCCGTTTTCAAAAGCTGCTCGTTAAATCAACAATTAACTATATTATAACTAATAAATATGGTACAGTAGTATATATACTATAAAGAGTAATTATTATACTATTATGAATAGTACATTTGAGGAAGAAGAGGACAAACGGTTCGTACATAACTTTTCAAGAGAGGCGAATAAGGTGCTAAAAATAAAATCTGCAACATTGCGTCATCAGCATTCAAAGAATGAGAACGAAAAGTTCGTTGAAAAGGAGCTGATGGTACTCGAGTTATTGGCGAGGATACTATATTGTCTGAAGACCCATCGGAATCATCATCTTCACTCATAGCGGACCGACCCATTTGCGATCCATCGGACCGTACGCGTGGAAGAAATACATTCATTTTTGTTTCTTCACACATCAACGAGTTATTTCTCAGTTTGAAAGTCGGTGTTGAAATGAAACAAAAACAATCAACAACAATTGATTTTATTGGAAAAAGGTTGGGGAGATTTGTGTGTTATTTCGGGTTTAAAGTAACACGAATGAAAAAAAAACAAAATATCATGTAAATTTTTTTTCTTTGGAGTTTTGTCGTATCTGGTTGTTTTATTATTCATTTTATTATTGAATTTACTATAAATTTGTGTGTATTTTTGCAGAATAAAAAAATCAAAAATTTCCAACAAACCGTTCTATTTTTACATTTTTCTTTTTTTTAAGGCAAGGTTTTTTGATTGAAATGTGTTTTATTTCAAGTATAGTATTCATAGTTATTAATGTATGGTTTAATTGAAGTTAATTGATTTGTAATAAGTATAGTATTGAAATTAACACTTTTTGGTTTCTTTGTGTAAAATTTGATTTACAGATATTCTGTACTGTTATTTGTTATTGTTCCACAAAAGCTTGATTTGTAAGTTTTTTTAATTACCACAAAACAAATTTGGTTGAGTTTGGATTATTGAAGTCATTTTTAAACCGAAACTTTCGGGATTAGACTATATAGAGATTAATATACCCAATTTAGTTCATATACCAAGTAACTTACTAATATAATAAATTTACTAATATATTTATTTGTTTTTATTAAACTGATAAATAATAAATAATATTATATTTTTAATAACATTTTTTTTAATTTCAAAAAATTATTTGTTTTTTAATAATAATAAAAAATAATATTTTTATTTATTTATTTTATTTCAATAGTTTTTCAAAATAAATTCAAAGTTTGTTTTAACTTTGAATATTTTAAATTTATATAGTTTTTTTAATGGTTATTTACAGTCGAATTAGGTCTACTTGTGATAGTATTTTTTATGAAAGTGATATGATTTTTATAAAATGTACAACATTTTTGATAAAAATGATGAATTAATTGAGAAGTGATAGTAATTTGTTTGAAAAATTATGAGTATTTTTTATAAAAGTGATAAACAATCGTAAAAAATGATGATTTATGGTAAAAATGATGGGAAATTATATCAAAAGTGATGGATTTTTCTCAGAAATGATGCAATCTATAAGAAAGTGACCAATAATATTTTGAAAAAGTTTATGATTTTTAACACTTGTGACAGATTATTTTATAAATATATAAATGTCGTTAATTACGGAAACTTCCCGTTATTTTAAACAAAAAATAAAATAAACACAAATAAACATAAAATATTACAAAAGATGTGTTTACATTGTTTTTTCTTTAAGTTATTTGAACTACAAAAACAACTTTGATTTAAATAATAATCAAATGTCTCGTTCACTTACATATCTTGATGCAAGAGATCCAATTGTTCGAAGCGATTATATAGAAAACTCTCCACAACTTCTACAAGTTGAAGTTGTGGAATCACGGCGTATTATTCCTTTTATACCACCACAATCTGAAAGAAGAAAAAGAGGATGACCAAAAAAGAATGTAACAAATATTACACAAGTCAAAAGATCATACAATAGAGTATTGCTTTCTGATAAGTTTGAATTAATTAAATTATTTCGAATATATAGAGATACTGTTGAACTGGAATTCTAAAGTACCAAAGTTGGTATTAAGGTTAACACTTAAAATAACTTGTAAATAATTCAGAAATTGGTAGCAAATTTCAAATCGGTGTATGGTCTGGGTAAAATTTGCTTTTGAAATGGTTTTGTGAATATTTAACTTACTAATGTAATAGCCTTAATGGAAAATTGTATAAATGTAGTGTGGTCTTATGTTAATGAAAGAAATTTTTTATGAATGATTGTGTTTATTTTATTTTTTGTTTAAAATAACGGGAAGTTTCCGTAATTAACGACATTTATATATTTATAAAATAATCTGTCACAAGTGTTAAAAATCATAAACTTTTTCAAAATATTATTGGTCACTTTCTTATAGATTGCATCATTTCTGAGAAAAATCCATCACTTTTGATATAATTTCCCATCATTTTTACCATAAATCATCATTTTTTACGATTGTTTATCACTTTTATAAAAAATACTCATAATTTTTCAAACAAATTACTATCACTTCTCAATTAATTCATCATTTTTATCAAAAATGTTGTACATTTTATAAAAATCATATCACTTTCATAAAAAATACTATCACAAGTAGACCTAATTCGACTGTATTACAATTTTTATCATTTAAAAATAAATAACTATTTAATAAAAAAATAATACAATAGCACTCTTTTACAATAATAATTATTATATTTTGTTATAATTTTACCAATATCATTAGTTTATTAGTTTATAATAATATTCTTTGAAATAACAAAATTTATAATTATTGAATTTTTTTCTTGTTTGTTTTTCAAACTGTCATGATTTCTAAACTCTTCGATTTTATTTTATTTCATTGAAAAAAGTTACATTTTTTCTTTTTTATCTTTGTTACTTTATGTTTAAGTATTTATAGTTTAAATTAAACCAAAAAAACAGGTTATTAAATTTACAAGTATTATTACCTATAGTTCCCGAAATATTGATTTTAAATACAATAAAATTGAAAAAAATAGAAAAAAAACAAATTCAAATCAAATTTTTTTAGCATTCTGTCCTTGAAATGGATTTAAAAAATATTTTGGTATGTTTTTTTTAGTTTTATTAACCATATTTGTTTAAGTTGTCACTTTTTTCAAATCATTGTTTTATTTATGTTTTAAAACTGTCCCAAATGTGTATAATATAATTTTTTTTTTACCTAATTTTAATAGTCATAATGCATTTTTGGATAAATTAATTAACAAGATATAAAAAAAAGTTTTATTTTTATTTTTTGAGTGTTTTTATTAAATGAAGTAGTCCTTCTATAAAAAATCTACTAATAATAAAAACCAAAATATTGTTATATAGTATAACATTTATTTATCCATTAGAATTATATATTGTTAAAATAATAATATATTCTAATACCAACTAGATACATATGAATTTCCAATTCCAAATAAAAAACCGTTTAATAATCCCAAAAGTGCATAATGTATTCTTTTATCATATAAAAATTGATCAAATCTGTGTTTTTGTTTATACATAGAGATAAAACATGATACTATTTTCACCACTGTACCAAAGTTCCACAAAAAAATTAGAAAAAAATTTGGGTGTGTCTCCATCTACAAAAAAAGATGTCAAGTGACTTTCAATTGATTGAAAATACACTGTCGCTCTCTTACGATACACACACATCAGCAGAGAAGTTAGATCACAAAACAATTACAATCACCAATTTGTTTGATAAGATGGACCCTCCGCCTAAAGGATGGGAGACTTCAATTAACGAGTTTCAGCCCCCCGCTTATAACATGCACACTTTTTCTAAAGTAGAAAATAATATTATTCGTGTTAGAACTGCCGTTTTAGTTCCATATTCGTTTCAAGACATATTAAAAGAAGTCCACAACCCGGTGAACATCTTTTTGACAAATCCCCATGTCCTTGAAGTCACCTCGCGTGATTCAACTCGGATGCACTTTAAATGTGCGGTGAATGGATATGACGACTCCGTTTTTTACTTTAATTGTAAAACGCGTTTAGAAATGTATACCGACGACGACTTCAAACCACACAATGAATTATTTTCTTCAAACAAAACACAAAAAAGTTCCTCAGAGAATTATGAAGGAGTTGAATCCTTTGAAACTCAAAAGAAGATGTCTCGCAGTTCAAAGACGGTGTTTCTCTTCTACGACTTCAAACCCGACTATTGGGAGTATTACTGCCTTGTATGTCAAAGAGAGAGAGACGGGTGTTCCATCACTTTAGAACTAGCTACTAAAGCTCCATGTGTCACCAAATGGTATGTTGAGTTATTTCATTCATGTCGAATTATCGTTCATTATTTCCTCATCTCTTTGAGTAAAAACACAAACAACTACGTCGCCGCAACACTGAAAAAGAAGTTTGAGGAAATCATCCGATTTGTCCCTCCCGACTATCGCCTTTGCCAGAGAAATCGATTCTCGGAAACATACGTCACGCGAGACTTCTCGAATATCATCATTCGAAATTACACACTAAACTCGATCCAAATCGATATGGAAAAGGTGATAGAAGCACTCTTCCTGTGGAGCTCCGATAACGTCTTGTTCGACAAAGTGCAGAAGATCGGCACATTTAATGGCCTCAATTCTTTGCATGCAGAGTCTTCTTTATTGGCAGCTAATACCACTGTGTTGGATATCGTCACGGCTTCCTGTGTGTTTGAAGGTAACATCTTTGTGTGTGGACACTCATTAAAGAAGTTGCCTAATTGCCCACATCGCCACGACGGAATTGAACAAACGGAATGTTTGTTAGCAGGTTTTGAGACGAGAAAAGTGAATGAAATGATTAAGACAAGATGTGTGTTACAATTTTATATACCATCGTTCAGAAAATTGGGCTTTGGTGGTATTAAAAAGAGAATAACAATTTTTATGGCTCGACTCACGTTTCTTATTAAAGCAGTCGAGTACTCGGTGGTCCCCCAAATTATTCATTCGGAAAGAAATATGTTTTTAACTTCTCTTCAAATCCTCAAAGCTTCAATGTGTATGAAAGATAAATTCAACAAAATGGCCAACGAATTTAAAAAAATTGAGGAACAAAAGAATTTTAAGTTGAATTTGGATATTTTAAATAACAATGTGTTGATGAAGATACTCCAATATTTGAGACTTAAACACATCGTTTCTTTGAAACTTACGTGCCGGAAGTTTGTTATTTATATATTATTAATATATTATAAATATACTATTAATATACTATTAATATACTATAATTGGAATGTATAAATATAAGGTAATAAAATTCAATAACAACCAGATTCTACCAACAAATTGCAACGTGTCAGTCTACTTTAAAAGCGATTTACACGAAATACTATGACCCTAAAACATTTGGTAAGTTGTATGAAGAATGTAGCAAATCACAATGCACATCACCATCAGACCCAGTTGATTATTACACTACAGTGCTGAGACACGAACAACAGAATCTGCACTGGAGGTACACATACACGACACTACACAAAAAAAGGCATCGAGTGTATGACACGCCCATCACACATATCTTTCCAACGCCGGACAATCAGTATGTCATAGTCAGTGAAGATGGCAAAGCGTCATTACAAGACTACGCCACTAATAACAAACGAGTTGAGTGGGTTTTTATGAAAAAAGTAGTTGCTTCATCGTTCATAGGAGGATGTTTAAGTGGGCAGAAATCGACTGAAAAAATGTTTTACCAGTTCACTGGTGGGACGTCATCAGTCATTCAGTGGGACAACCTAAAGGAAGTTGAGACGTACAAAACGGTGAATGTGGATGGTGCAGCGTTTGTTGGGAACAGTAAGTTTGTTGGGTGGAAAGGGAAGCGAATAGTTATATATGACATTAGTGTGTTGAAAGAGATTGAGTCTTATAGTAAAACGGATAGTATAGTTGAAACCATTCACGACTATAAAGAAGACCAATTTCTTGTTGTGTCTAGTGATAAGAGTGTCGCTGGATTTGATAGTCGAAGTAAACGAAGTACTTTTCTGTTTAAAGGAGGAGTGCCTTATGGAGGGGTCGATTGGTTTGACTGGAATGTTGTGATTGGAAACATCGAAGGGATAGTCGAAATGTGGGACGTGAGGTACCCAAGAATGTGTGTGAACAATACGGTTGTTGGCGGGATGACAAATGCTTTGAGGTGTTATAACAGAAAAGTTGTGGTGGGGACACAGAACAAATTGGTCGAAATGGCGTTTTGTGATAAAGGAAGAATGGAACAGTTTAATTGTTTGTATCAACATGAACACCCAGTCACGTCAGTGTATTTTAAAGATGATGTATTGGTAACAGGGTCAAATGATGGGGTCGTATATTCAACTACATTTTGAAATTCTATTGACTCTTATTATGATGTTGTGATGGTTGAGGTGATATCTTCGGAGTACAAAATAGAAAATAACTTTTGGCGTCTCAGGAATATCGAGTAAAGTATATATAATTTATTTTTGACTTCCTTTATTGATAATTAATAATGTGACTTGAATAAATATAGCAAAGATATTGATGTTATGATCAATTTTGTAAAATAATGAGCATTTATTTTACTTATGATATTTTGTTATTCGATTTGTAAATTATAACTGATTTTCACACAATATTGTATACTGTTAAAAGTACTAAAAAGTAATTAATATATTTGTTGATATGAACTTAAAATAATATGAACTGTTGTGTTCTTATGTATTAATTTCAATTAATTGATTCATGAATAATATAAACATTTAGATAATATCATTTTTTAAATTATAAATATACTCTTGTTTATCAATAACATTTCATTTATAACTGAAATATATGATGTGTTAATATTAAAATCCATTTTTTATCCTTAATTAATTAATTAAAAAAACTGATTAAATGATTGAGTCAAATAACTACCCATTATAAGTTTTATCGAATTGTATATTATATCACGTTAATACAACTTTTATTGATATCAATAACAACTTTATTATTATCTCAAAAAAATGTTATTTAAAATTTAACATCTAAAATACACAGACTTACAAGTTCATTTAAATTGCATCCAACAATGAAAATAACATCACTTTAAAAAAAATGACACAGAATAACAATAAGAATGAAATGTGTGTAATTAATCCAACTTTAAATAAATGGCTATTATTTTATATATCAAAAATTCTGTTATATACCAATGAAATATAATTACCAAATGAAAGAGCCAATAAATATCAACTGATAAAAGTAAGAGATTATCGTTTCCATCAAAAGTGAAATGTAATTATCCATACACAGCTCTATTTTTAATATTATAAACTATGGTAATTTGATGTTTAAACCCAATTTTTATCACATACATTCTATCTTTATTACATAAAGAAATAGTCATACAAATTTACGAGTCATTCAACAGAAGTGCACACATGAGTTCAGTGTCTCCTTTATAGAGTAATGTTGCTTGGCTTTTATCAAGGAACAATGCTCGTTCCAACAAAATAGAATTGATTTTGTTCCCAACGTCTTCCATCTTTTCTCTTGAGAAGACATACCCATCGACATTTACTGATTTGAGGATCCTTCTGTCTGGGATGTTCTCGTGTTTGTCAGACGTTGTTTGATAATCGAAACGAGTTGTAGACAAGACGTCCATTAAGACATGGAGATGTTCCATAATCCGATACGATTCACAGCGGCGCTTTATAGTCTTGTCATCAATGTCATTTTTTCTATCTGCTTCAATCAAAACGTTCACACGCTCGTCAGTGAGTTTTTGAGTGTTTATTTTGTTTGTGTTGTTTTGAAGGGACTGCACCCATATGAATGGGACACTCTTAGTTGAAAATTTGAAAGGACGGAGGTATGTCACATCAAAGTATTGATTCAATAACGATATTAAGACGCAGCACTGTTGCGAGTGCCAGTTCCGTGTTCGTTTGAATTGACTACTCTTCTCTGGTGTTTTCGACATAAAGTGTTAAACAGTTTGGCATTGTTGAACTTCTTTTTCTTATTTTTTAATACGGGTAGTCATTTCTTAGTGTTACAAAAACATTCAGCTGTGATTCGGGATGTGTGGGATTGAATGATTGGACGCGTTTATTTGTTTTGTTTTTTTAAACTAAACGTGTATATTTTAAACCCATATGTTGCTTTTTAGTTTTATTTGCCATTGTTTATAATTCAATTAAATCATTTTGATTGTGTTTTGGTATTTTTATTGCAAATTTGGAATTGGCAATTAAAAACCATTTTTTATTTTTAATTGCACTAATTGTAAAAACTATATATTTATAATTGTTTTATTATTTATAATATGGGTTTTTTAACATAAATTATTTATGAATGTATTTTTTGATTAACTAATACAATGGATACTTTCTTCACTTTGACAAACACAATAACAATATCGTGTAGAAGTTTTAAGTTGAAGTTCTTTGTAACTTATATAATTCATTTTAAATTTAATAATACGAGAGTTTTATAACAATTAATTACTCCAATATTATTTTAATTAAAACAGAAATTGTTCGTGTTGAGAAATGTATATATATATTTGAATGTTGTTTTCGGGTTATAAAATAAGATGTGACAATTATCAATAATTATAAAAGATGTAATCTTCGATTTAAATACACTTTTAATATTAAAATAATTAGTTTTTAAAAACCATCGTTGTTTCGATTGTTTGAAATGAATTACTAAAACTAGTCAAAAATAAACTGAACATGTTATTATTTGTTTTGTCGTTTCAAAAATAGACGTTTATAATTAATTGATAAAAATTCATTAATTTCAATGTTATATTTGTTCATACTTAAATTAAAAACATTAATTTATTAAAGTTGGTAAATACAACTTGAAATTTTAAGCATGGTGTTATATGTGTTATATATATTATTTTAATATTTTGTATGTCTGAACACGTTTCAATTTTTTTATATATTTTTTATTATGACAGACAAAATAATAAAAAAAACAAAAAATAAATAAGCTTACAATTGACAAATTAACATAATAGTTTCTATAATATTTGTTATAAAAATTACAAATATTGTGTTTAAGCAATAAATTAATTTGTTATTATATAAAACGTGTTCTTCTTATAATATGTTGGGATTATTAAATTGTTGGTATAATTGATATAATGAAAAAAATTGTTTTTGTTTTGATTGTAATAAAGAACATGATTTGCTTTTACTTGATGTAACATTAACAATACATCTTAAAATATTTATCATCATTGGTCAAAAAATAAAATATTTGTTTTTATGTTGCTTAAATTTTATTTTGATAAATCTTATAATTTTGATAAGGTTTAATTAAGATTGAATTTGAATATAGTTGTTGTTTGAAAAATATATTTACCATTATTTTATCAATACTTTTTTGTATTACGTTAACACTCTTTAACACCTTTAAAAAAATAAAATATTTAAATTCTGAATAATAATATTTATCAATTATAAAAATAAAGTAATTTTTGATAAATATAAGTTATATACACTTCACATATTTATTCATTCATGGAATAAACATTCATTTACGAAATAAAAGAAACATCTTTTATTCCATAAAGATGTTTCTTGTTAAAAAGATGTTGTGTTTATTTAGATAATCGATAATAAACAGTAAATTTTATTATAATAATTTATACTTAATATGTAAATTTTATAATTTACATATAAATAAAATAAATCATAATTGGTTTTATGATTTATTTTATTTACATGTTTGTATTTTTTGTAAATTTTTCATAGATATTCATAAGTATTAAAATTCAAATTGTATATTTAAACATTTTTTCAATGTATCATTATTATATAATTATTATAATGCATTAAACAACGTTAAATATATAAAATTTAAAACTAATAAATACATTAAAGTCGTAGATTCGTATTACCAATATTCAACTATTATATGACTAAATGATGTGTTCTTTCTTTCTGTTTCATACGAAAATGGGTTTGAAATATTAACAATAATTTCGGTAAAAAATTGGCTCTAAGAAGAAATCTTTGTACTTGAAAACAAAAACATTGAGATACATATGTGATCATGAAATGATTTTGATTTTTTTAAGTTATTCGATTCATCGAGTTAATGAAAATAATTATTCACAGAACAATCATATAAATTTTAATAAAATGATCGACCAACTTGGTATAGGTATAATCATGAAATATAAAAAATCTTGTTTTCTACAACAAACAACAATTTTCAAACACTTTTGATAATGAAATTGTTTTTTTGATATTTGTAAAACTCTAAAGTTGTCTATTCGTTATTATAACAACAAAATTAAATCAAAAATATCGTTATATTTTGACTACAAATTTCGTTTTCAACTTCTATTCTTTTGTTTTATATTGAGTTACTGGACGAATAGAGTTAGTCGGAAAACTTTTTCCCGAACATTTAGGTCTAATTTAATAATATAATATCGGGATTCTGTTTGAACAGTAAAAATAGTTGTTGCAGTTTTTTCTAATTTTTTAATATTTAAAAAAACAGGAATTACCAAATTCCCGATTTTCAAACGATTATTTGTGTATAAATCAAACAAAAGGACAACATTTTAAAACAAACTCTATTAACTTGTTTGTTATTAACTAATTTTTTAATAACTAATTTTGATTTTTTTACCTCTTCAATATTCTAAAAACTATATATTACTTAATAAATTATTAACTTAATGTAAATAAGAAATGACTTTTAAAAAATTATTCAAATAACTTACTAAATTATAATAATTATATAACCACAATATATAGAAAAAAGAAAACATTGAATTTTGCCATATTAATATAACTCAAAACTATAAGTTGTTTTGTTTTTTATTTTTTTTTCTTCGAGACATTCCACCTCTCCAAGTAATAAATCCAATTTTAGATTTTTAACAACACTTAACAATTTACTGTTTTGACTATATTTGGAACAACTTATGAAACCCCCCTAAAATCACTTCACATATTTTTATAAAAAAGAAGTTATGAAACGAACGTTAATATTCAAAACGATGAATCGTGTTGACAATACAGCAGTCCCACTTGAACCATTTCTTTTGAACGTTGAATTTTCAGGTAACATCACTCCTATTATTATGTCTAAAACAACTAAAGGTGTAGAAAGAAAAAAGGAAAGAACATCGGGAAGATCAATACCTTCACCAACACCAAATCACACGTCTGTTATATTCAGAACCGAATTTTCGTTAAACAAAGATGATATAGAAAAAGAACCACAGAGAAAATCAATGATCATCACTTCATCTTTTGATGCTGAAAAGGCTTTTAAAACAAAACAAAAGAGGAAACTGAATTCTTCCTTTTTATTTTCCCAAGAAAGAAAATCGCTTGATCCTGAGCAAGACGTTCAGTTAGATAATTTAGAAATACCTTTAGAAGTCAGTGATTTTGTAATTTATAATGAAAGACTACATAAAGAGAAATTGGGGCAAACAAGTAAGGTTGGCAAGAGGTATCTGCGCTTGAAGACTAAAAGAACAGGAAGAGGAATTAAACATCAAATCTTAAAAATGCACCACTTTGGAATAAGTCGGGATTTTGTCACGGAAGTCATAGAAGATTTTACACGAGGAAAACTGTCTCCAAAAACAGCAAGAAATTCACTTGCAGTTCCTCGTGTTGAGTTCATGAGAAGAAATTCCGTCCAACCGACGTTTGTGAAGAGGGAAGAATCACCAAAGAGAAAAGAGAGTGAACGACAGAGGAAGAATACAGACACTGAATTTGTGAGAGTTAAAAAAGGACTTAATGACCTTTCCGATTCAGAAGATTTTGAGGAGGTTTGTCCGGTCGATGAAGGCGTTTTTTACACGTTAGTACCCGACGAAGACTTGGATCTGATGATTTCATGTGACTCTGAAATGGTCAGAGACTATCTGAAAAGGTATCGAGTGTCTGTTGGATTTCCAATAAAAGGGTATAAAGAGTGTTTAGTTCTTGACATCCGAAATGGAGATGATAACCCAAAGGAGCAGATTAAAGTGATGGAAAAACTCGTTGAAACACGACGCACTGAATTTATCACAAAACATGCAAATGAAATTTCAATGAAAGACGTCCAAATTGGCGGGAAAGCAGAACGCAAATTTGTTTTTAAAAAAGATGGACAACAAACGTCTTCTTTTGTTCCTTTATTCGACACTGTAGAAAAGGAGGAATTCGATAAGTACAAGAATTTGTTGCAAGAATTGTGGTATACCGAACAAACACATGTGAATAACCTTGACATCTTGTTGCACTGCTATTTAGACCCAATATCTGAAGGGAAATATTCTAATGTTGTCCATAAGATGAAAATCCAAGTAAAGATGCTTTTAAGACTACACGAAATCTTCTTTGAAAAATTGACTGAAAAATATGAAGAAAAGAATGAAAATGAAATTCCAACAATCAGTAAATTACTTCGCTACTTCTTCCATTTTTCGAAAGGGACTTGCCCATATATAGTGGAGTACAACTCGAATTTGAAAATAGTGAATGAACTGATGACCCACCAAAGCGTCAAAAAAATCGTAGAAAAGAGTGTTTTGCACTATAAAGAAACTCACCCAACTGTTTCAATTCAACGTATTCAGTCTTACTTGATCACTCCAGTCCAAAGGATACCAAGATATATATTACTCATTAAAGATATAATTAAGAACATTCCTGCGATAAGTGAAGAGGCTGAAAAAATGGTGGAGTGTTATCATGTCATCTTAGATGTTGCGTCTTGGATCAATGAAAAGAAGATGATAGAGGAAGAGAGAGAAAAATACTCTGAAGTAATCAACACGTTGAGTGGATTGTATAACTTAAATAAATCGTGCAGAAGATTTATAGTGTCTGGGAGCTGTAAATTCTGTGAAGGTGAAGAGACTAAAATGAGAAGAGGATATTTCTTCCTTTTCAATGATGTACTTATTCGATCAAGAATTACAAAATACGATGGCAGAAAGATTGGTCACAAGAAGGAAAATGACATATACAAGAAGATTGATTCATATGAAAGTGTTGAAAACTTTAAAAATGACAATTTTGTTGTTCAAAGTGTCTTTATGGTGACAGAAGATGCAACTGTATGTTACTCTCCCAACCCAACATGTGGTACTGCTCTCTTATTCACTTCCCCTCTGTCAGATCTTAAAATCACTTTAATATTTGAAGATCCTTTGGATGCAAATGCATGGTTTGTAGCATTGGCTTATACAATATCACTGTCTCCGAGTCTGAATGAAAGCAAGAGTATTCTTAACTTAAGGAATGAGTCTGCAGAATTTGAATAAATGTATCTTTTCTATATTTTACGTTTAATTAATTAATAACAATAGTAATTAAAAAGTAAATATAAATGTAGAGAACAAATTATAAATTTAAAATTCTTTTGTTCTATTTTTGTATTCTTGGTGTTATTCAATACTATTATTTATACTATTTAAGAGTTAAAAATTTATTAAAAAAGATATTATAATTTTGAATTAAATATTTGAAATGTACAAATTATCAATGAAAAAATTGAAATCAAAAAAACAATTAAAAAAATGACACGAACTCGAAATTAAAAACTAAAAGATGACGATGGAGGAAAAAATTTTGTTGACCAAAACTAATGTTGAGCAACTTGAGGAAAACTCGTTAAATAATTGGAACGCAGCAGACGAGGCTTTAACAAAACTATTTACAATGGAAATACAAAGTGTTGAATTTCAAGATGCTGTGTTTCCCGTGTTATTCCAATACTTCATAGAAAATCACACAACAAAACCAAAGTCCTCCAAATATGTTTTTGTCAAGATCGTTTTATTAATGAAATTTATGAAGACGGAAAAAGTCAGTAAATATTTTGAAGATCTTTGGAAGGCTATATTCTTGATTTTTGAAACCGAAACTCAACACACGCAACTTATAGAAATCATCGGGCAGAATTTGATTGATGTTTATAATGTCACAATAAGTAATCACGATGTCATAACTTTGCTCCGTAATTACCACAACTTAACTAATTTTGTTACACCAAATCAACTCAATAAAAAAGCATACGCGGCAATATATGTCATTATTTGTCATCACCAACACCAAAACGAACATTTGATGACAACACTCAAACTTTTTGAAAACAAAATTTTGGAGCAACAATCAATCGATTTGTTTCTTCTATTTTTAAAGGAAATCTTCGGGATTTTCCAAAGCCTCAAGTGGCTTGTCAAAAAGTCGATTGTGGAGGAAAGTCTTGTTCTTTCGAAAAAAATCTTACAAACCGATGTGCCACAAAATGTCGTTTTGACGGCATTGGAAATTGTTAATAACATTTTTGGATTGCAACAAAATGTGTTGCCAGAAAAGGAATTACTCGAAAGCGTTTTTGAGACGTTTCAAAAGGTTCAACATAGTAACATTAAAGCAACGTGTCTCAACGTATTAACAAATGCACTCACGTTGTTTCCACATCACACATTCACAGTTTGTGTCAACAAAAACGAAAGTATGAAGTCCATTACACATGACATTTTCTATCAACCAGAAAAGTTTGATAGGCATCTGTACGTCACTGCATTAAGTTTTGTCACCACGTTCTCATTTTTTTATCACAAATTCCAGTCGTTTGATATTTTTTTGGAGAAATTTGCAATAGAAAAAAGTGTTTTTGTCAAAACATATTTTCCAGAACAAAAAAGTTCAACAACTGTTTTAGACGGTTTGTTTGTTTATAATTTAAAATAGAATATTATACTATTATGAATACTATATATTATACTATTAGTATTATCAAATAATAATAAGTTATGACATTCAGCTGTCTACGTCAACGCAATGAAAGTTATACAAATGTTTTCCATGACAAATTCCGTTCCACAAGAAATGAAAAACATTTTTAAAGGACTTCCACTTAACACGCCATGGCCTTCAAAAATAAATTTTCTTCGAGTTTTTGAAACCCTTCCAACCCCCATTTTGCTTGAAGAAAAAGCAAATCTCAACGAAATGATTTTTGAATTTATATATGACACGGATTATAGAGTTCTGTCCCAAGCGGGAAAAACATTTTCTGCAGTAGTCAATCGTTTTGATATTGAGTTTCAAAGGAAAGTCACCACAAAAATGGTTTACAAAACTCTTGCACGTCCCGACTTGTATCTCCGTGGAGCTTTGTGTTTCTTTACTCATTTTTTTAATACCGAAAACGTCGCTCAGATGAGAAAGAACGACTTCTGTCAAACGATTTCTGCTCTTCTTATAGGGATAGAGCATACCCCATACAAATGTGATGTCGAAGTATTAACCGACTTCTTCAAAGTGCTGAGGAAAATGTCACAGCGAAGTGTTGGAAAGGAGTTTTACAGTCGCTCCGATTTGTACACCAAAATGTTTACATTTCATTTGGTGTTACTTTCAATCTTTACAAAGGCACTTTGTTTTAAAGAAGTTGAAAACGTTATCGAGCAAATCACTGCGACATATAAATATCCATTTTTAGTTGCAGTGTGTAAAGGAAAGACTTATAGTACACTCTACGATCTTATTAATGCAAGACTGAAGGTGAGAAACCCTTTACTTACTGTCAACACACATACTAATAATGAAGAAGACGTTCTTTTAAAACTCCTCAAAGCCATTTTCGAGTCACTTTCAGGTTGGATGGGAAACCTCCCGGAGTGCACAAACGCGTATTCCGACGAAATTTTGATCCACACAAAAGTCCTTGGAAGAGTCGACTTGTCGTCGTCCGTGAAATGCATGACCACCTTTGTACAACTCACACTCAACACAACTTTGGAGAACGAAAAGTGCCAGTTGGAAATAGAAAGAAAGGCAGTGGACTATGTCGATTTGAAAGATATTAGTGCCATTAGGATCAACGAATCGGGAATCAAAGAAACAATGGCGCACAAACAAATCGTCTTTGAAAAACTCCAAACCGCGTTTGTGACACAAAAAGAGTGGTTTGATGGTGTTCAGTATCTGTCGTTGTTCTACCACGTCTTCTTAAATAAAGCATTAAGAGCAAAAGCAAATGTCATTACGGTGTTACTCAACACGTGTATGCCACTAGAAACACTCAAAGATGAATGGAAGAAGGTCAGAGAGTTTGTACAACAGAAGACTACACTCACTAATTTCGAAATCTTCTCGTACGAAAGAACGCCAAGAATTTCGACGGTGTTTCCACTGTTTTCTAACGTCTTTTATAACTTTGCGGAGGACGCTAAGAAGAGAAAAGACCCGAAAAACGCGGTGTCGGCGGCTACCGAGCAAGAAAAGGTGCTTTGCGAGTGTTTTGGTAAAGTCACAAAAATGGGAGATGCAGCGCTCGTTGAGATGTTGAGAATGTACGAAGGGTACATTGCAGTTCTCAAAAAAGAGAGTGGAGAAACCTTGAAAAACTTCTTGTCGTTATTTGACAAAAAGCAAATAGACACGTGTACAACAAAGGTAAAAAGTGGGAAGGAAACCGTTGAGCTCATATCAATGTGTGTCCAAGGAACAATAGCCTTTGGGTGCAAGCAAGCCGCGGTGAGAGACTTGAACGAGCGAGTTGTCAAGTTGTGGAGATTGTTGAATCGAGAAGAAGTGATCCGTAATGTCATATTCAAAATTTTCAAAGACAAAGATAACACAGAGAGCTATTCGTGGGATGTCCGAATGAAATGTGCTGAGGCGATTTTCAAGAGTTTGGAGATGAGAAATTTGATATATTTGGATAACGACATTTTACTTCAAGAAACTGTAGAAAATGTGGTGAAAGGAATAGGTAATGTAGAGTTTGTGTACTCCATCCAAAAGGATTGTTATTCATCAATATTAGAAAAGGTTCCTTATGTTCTGGAACGCTTTTCTAATGTATTAAAAATTCCTGCAGCTACCAACGTCTTCATTCAATTTGCCTTTCCTCAAAAGAAAGACTTCGATGTCGAAAAGTATTTCAAGAACGAAATTATCAAGACGTATTCAACGGACCTTCCCAACGTTTGTTTGATGGAGAAGATATATCGTTTGGCGCTTGTAGGCAAAGAGCCCGACTACGCCACTCGGAAGACCCTCTTTTTGTCTTCAAATTTCCGTCCAATTTCTTGCCTTAAATGTACTCTCGTTCCTGCAATTTTCAGAAATGTTGATTTTTACAATCACGAACGATTGGAGATTTCAACAATGACAAAAACATTTGCTCTTCTTCCGACAGAACTCAAAATTTCATATTTGGCGCACAACACGTGTTACATCCACAATGAACCGAAGCTGTTTTTTGAAAACATAAACTTTTTCGATATGAAGACAATAGAAAAAATAACTTTGGAGATCACAACAAGTTCAAGTGTATATTTCAAGTTTGTGGATTATTATCAAAATCCGCCCATTTGCGACTTTTCAGAGGTTTTTGACTTTTTGTGCCAAGAACAAAATTTAATTTTCAAAAAATCAAAAGAAAGCGGGGCGAAGATTGAGGCGGAACGAGCACCATTCGAATTTTCAGTAAAAATCGCAAGAGGTCTTGTGGAGGCTAATTTGGACCAAGTTTGCGCATATGCGGCTGAGATTGCGCCAAATCTCACTTTTTTCCCAATCATGATTGATAAAATTGAGGAATACAGAAAATTGAGTGGTGGGAGGAATGAGAACACAGAAGACGCCAAAAAAATCCAGAAAGTTTTGTTTGGCATTTTGTCTAAGATGACAAACAAAAACCAACGGACATTCATCGACCAACTTTCGGTGAAGTCGGTGGTTCTTCTCGCACCATTATTCACAATGATAAGACTGGTTCTTAAAACACAAGTAACGCAATTACCAATATTTGAGAATAATACTAACCAGATAATGAAACTTGACGATCAGAAGGAGTTTGCAGATAAATTGCTTTTGAACGACTTTTGGGATTTTTGTGAAGTAAATTCATTTGAATCTGCACTTAAAATATGTATCTCTTTGTTGTCACAATTGGGATACGTCATTGAACAAAACACTACACTTGACAATGCCATCGAAGACTATGTAGCTCATAAAGTATGAAATTATTATTTTTTATTTCAATCTTTTTTATCAAAGGTTTTTGTAATTAATATTTTTAATTACAAAAATCATTAAAAATAGTTTGATGATCATTTATTGCAAACATAAATAAACCGTATTATATGTATAATACAATATTATAAATTATGAATTTCAATATTAATTCCATAAAGAACTATCTTCTTAACTAATCTTTATAATTAAATTATATACTAAAACATGTAGTTACATTATGGTTAAAAAACTAAAATACTCAACTATGAATTATAATAAAAAAATCTATAAAGTCTAGTTTAATTATTCATATAATAACTTAAGATTAATTAATTTATAGAAGGATTTGATAGATTTCTTAAACGTCGTTGTTCAAGAAATAGAATAAAAGTACAAAGATATCCTGTCAATTTCAAATGCTGAGGTGATACCACCTTGTATAGGAATTAACAACTTTCTCTTGAAGAATTTTGACGAGATGGATGCTAAAGAGCAAGGATCCGCTTTGGTTCTTCGTTGACAACATTTCTGAGACGAGGTTTAAATAGCACCCCAACCCTAAAAAAGATAAAAAAATTAATGAAAATATTTTAATTAAAAACAATCCTCTATGGAAGACAAAAAAGACGACAAAACACTGAAAGCTAAACAACTCGAAGACCACAAAAAAGGATGGAAAGAATTTTGGGATGTGCTGTTTGTGGGTGTTGTCGGGTCTTTCATATTTGCAGGACTGATGGCCACGTTTGTCATAGTGCAAGAACTTTATAATTAACATCATTCAATGTTTAATTGTTATAGTTATTTTTATAGTTAATATACTATATTTAAAATCTTTCATTTTGAAATGAAAGTTTTTTTTAATGACATGAAATATCATTTGAGAAATGAGAACTTAAAAATAATACTCATTTTTATTTTCTAGATGAGTAGTTATTTTGTGTAATTTGAATGATACAATTGAACTGATTTTAAAAATTTGAATTTACGAGTAAATATTTTTAATATAAAAGACTGATGAGTTTTTCGAAAGGGTTTATTAATATTTTATTGAATAAAAAGTCTGTTTTAAATGTAAAAAAAATAATGAGCGACTCAGGTCGGCATGCCCCACGGAAACCAATTGATGAAACAAATGCCAGTTACCAATTATCTTTAAAGCGGAAGAAAGCGAAGGCATTGGAACGCGAACAACTTAAAAAAGTGGATGAACAATTAGATTTGATCACTGCAGAAGAACTTTTAGAAACTACATATTACTTTGAAAATAATTATCGACGAGTTCAACCATATTACTATAATTTTAAAGTCAATGCCAAAGGGAGGTGGGTAGGCAAATCTATTGTAGAAGTCTTTGTAAGTGAATTTAAAGTGTGTGACGTCAATGGAACTGAGTTAGCGATTCAAAGAGGAGACATTACTGTGAATGATCTTCCAACGACTTTGTCATATAAAGTGCGAATGGGCGATCACATTGGACATCGTGTGCATCGCCATGAACCTCCAGTCACATCTCAAGAGGTTAAAATAATTAAAGAAACTCAAGACTTTATTGTGGTTGATAAACCTGGGTCTATCCCCGTTCATCCATGTGGCCGTTATAGGCATAACACTGTAGTCTTTATAATGGCATCTTTGGGGTTGAAAACACTTCGACCAGTTCATCGATTAGATAGAATGACATCAGGGATCTTAATATTGGCAAAAAGTGCCGACGCGGCGCGACGGGTCGGGGAGAAGATTTGTTCAAAACAGACGGCTAAAGTCTATTTGATTCGTGTAAGAGGGAAAATGAGTGAAATGGTGACCGTCGAAGGAAAGATCGGAAGACAAAGCAAAAAAGAAAAAATTGACGTCATGGTCCAACACATCGACGAGGAAAAAGGAAAAGCGTCAAAAAGCCAATTTGAACCACTGTTTTATGACGAGAAAAGTAACACAACAGTTATCACCGGGAAACTGGAAAGTGGAAGGACACACCAACTGAGAGTCCACTTAAAAGAAATTGGACACCCAGTCGCTAATGATCCGATTTATGGAGCGAAATTTGATAGTACAAAACATTGCGATGACGACGGAATCATTGAAAGCGAATACAAAGGTGATCTAAAGAAATGGGAGAAGGTAGATTGGTGCGATGAATGCAATAAAATTAAAGGGGATCCAGAACAACTGGAGATTTATCTCCACGCGTGGAAGTATGAGATCGATGGAGAGAAGTTCGAGACGGACGTGCCATGGTGGGCAAAGAGAGAGGCAGACGTCACAAAGGAGTTGGAGAAATGGAAAGCGAACCATATTCTGGAATGAAAAATAGTATTACCTCATTGATTTGTTGACTGAAATTTTGCGCTTTAATATTACTATCGTTACGTTAGTCAAATCAGATTGAAAAAATGAGTGTTTGTGGTAAAAAGAGAGACTTTTAAAAAATAATTATAATTAATGTATTATAATATTATAATTATAATATTGTTTTTAATTTTTGGTTTTTATTTAAACATATCAATTTTACAATGAAAAGAAAAAAAAAAAATAGTGAAATAATCTAAATAACAGGATGGCTCAAATAATAGTTTTTTACATATAGTAAAATTAATTATAATAATAGTTGAATAATACCATTTTTTATTTATTTTTAGTAAAAAATCCATTTAAGATAATTGACAATTATAAAAAGGAAAATAAACTCATCTTTTGATTTAGAATTTGAAGTCTGATGGAAGAATCATACTACATCGATAAATTGATTTTCCAATTCAACGAAGCTCAGAAGGTGTATCTTCTCCGTGAGAAGCTTTCTAACCTAAAGCCAAAAAAAGATATGGACAAAACAAGTGATTTAAACTGTTGCCAAGAGGGTTTGAACAACAACACACCACAAAAGCAAACATGTACACAACCCACGTCTCATCCTTCACTAAAGACTAACAAAGAGACAAGAAATATAAAGACCCGTCATTCTCCTAAAGATGGGAAGCTCGTTCAAAAAATGAGGATCCCTCTTTTCGATGTTCCAGTCATTTCCTTCCCTCATAAGCGCTCTCGTTCTTTCCAAGAGCAATCTTCTCAACTTTGACAATCTGAGTGTTTTTTATAGTTAATATTTAAATAGATTTTACTATATAAACACAATTGTTCTATTTTTATCAAGAATCTAATAAAATTATTAAAATAGATAAAAATAATTAATACATTTATTAAGTTTTGATGATTAAAAACATGACAATTTGAAATCAACTTGTCAACTTATCAAATCACGTTTAAAAGTGGAATAAATAAACAATTAATCAGTTAGTCCTCGGAGGTGGAGTCAGACTCTTACCCAATGGTGGTGACCGTGATGGTGAAGATGACAAAGAAGCCGACATTGAGCTTGGTGCTGACCCTGACGTCGACTTAATAGCTCCCGCCAATATATTTCCGAGTGTATTTGACATTGCATCTGCCTTTTTGTGCGCCGCCATCTGTTGGAGTGGTGGCGAGAAAGTTGGTCTTGGATTGAGGAGTTGGAACGAAGGTTGTTTAGCCTTCAACTCCGTGATATAACACTGTTTTGACAACATGAATAGCCAATAGGCCAACACGAGAAAGAGGACTATCGACAATATAAGTAAGCCGTAGAAGGTTGTTTGTATCTTTCCGTTTGATAAGTGTTCGAGATCGTAAAATGAGTTTCTGAGACGAACGATCTCCTTATTTAATCTCTGAATCTCAAGAATTTGAGATTCGGCGAACTTTGTCATGTTTTCAGCTAAAGAAGTTGCCACCACTGTTTTAACTTCTTCTGGTTGAACTATAGTAACGACTAATTCGTCTAAGGAAGACACCCCATAAGCTACAAATTGATTGATCGAACAGTAGAACTCCTTTCCGTACCAACTGTTCTCAACAAATAAGACGTAGCGACACCACTTTGGAGTCGGGATGGTCACCAAATGTAAGATCTTTTGGTTCACAAAAGTGAAGTTCCCCAGTGGAATCCACTGCGTCCCATTCACTGAACACGACAAAGAAACATTCTCAAATTGATTGCTAAACAACTCGTAATTGGCAACGCCAAATTGTTTGATTTGAATTGCTTGGCATAACTCAATAACAAAGTGGACGTGATTCTTGCACGGAGAAAGATAGTAACTGTCTCGATTCGTATTCAACAAATTGTTCGCTCCAATAGACCCTTCGTTCGTCGTAAGTACCTTTGCACCACAATCACTGCCAGCGTAATTGTTCAAACGTTTGATTTGTTGGGGCTCCATGGGTATAGGAAGTGGCATCTTATTTTTCTCTTTTAAAATGTCTTCAAAAAGTTGGGTATAAATCACGTCGCTTTGGGAATACAGCGAGCCCAAGATCAGAAATACAATCGAGAGAATTCCAACTAAGACATTACCACGACCAATCATATTACTATCGTACTATTTCTCAGATAGTAAAAAAATAATTTAATCTAGTTATGTATTAATTTATTAATTGTTTAATTAATTATATTAATGTAATTATTTATATTTAATTAATTAATACTATTAATTTAATTATTTATTATTAAATTAATACATACAGAAGAGAAAATTAGTAAATAGTATTAACATTAGTATAGTATTAAATAGTATCAACTATAGTAAATTGTTAATACCTTATTAGATTTACAATTATAGCGACAAATCATTTTTTATTTTCTGTGTCAAATTATTAATTATTTAATTAATAATTTACTACTTATTAATTAATAATAATAATTTGATTATAACATCGAATGCTATCTTATAATATACTATTACTAATAGTAAATTAATAATACATTAAATGGTTTTGCATTATATCGGTAAATAAATTTCCTTCGAATTGTTCAAAAGAGGAAAATCCGATATAACCAGTAAAAAAAAAGTATAAATTACCGATAAAAAAAGAGTGGTTAATGGAACCAATCGTAAAAAGGTAAGAAGGTTGGGAAGAGATAGTCTTCACAAGCCATAACAGTTGAGTATTTAATAGTGGAACAAACCGTTGATAAATATCCATTTTGCTTAGAAGCAGAATGAAACATCATAGCGGATTGTACCATATACTCATTAATAGCTTCTTTACGTTCAATGATTTTGGCTGCGTTCTCGCACCCCTTTGCCGTCTTGTAAATTGGTTTTGCCACCTTTTTAATGAACGGGATTTTGGCGGGGATTTTTGTCACAACGGCGACGTAATGGCCACCCGTTTGAATGTAAGGCACCATTTTAGTGCTGGTTGCCAAATCAGCACCTTTATTGAAGACGTCCAAGCCAGCAAAGGCGATAGAGTCTGTTGTTGTCTCGATGTTATTTTCATCATGATAAAAGCCGAGTTTGAGGAATTCGAAATTCTCTTTGAAATCGTTGAAATCGGTGCTTTGAGAGAGAGTTTTGATATCTTTAAAAGTCTGATAATGATGCGCTTTTGGTATTGGCCTATTAAACACTTTCACTTCATCTTTCCCATCCACAAAAATGGGAGGGTTGGATGTACTCTCTTTCTCTTGTTGAGGAGGTGTGCTCTTCGTTATTTCACTTTTTTGAATCGTTTTAAATTGGACGGACTTAAAGCCTTGAGAAGATTGAAGGGAAGAGTTTGAGGCTTGACTTGTTGGTGGGTCACCACTTGTGTTGACTTGTTGATCAACTATCTCGACAAACAGGAAGTCATCTTTTACTCTGGACTTTTTGGGTTGAACGGGTGGTTGAAGAGATTCGACTATTTCCGTGTGGATGTCGAGTTCTAGTTTTAAAGAATCTATTGTTTTTAATAAAATTTGTTTTTCTTTCTCGAGTTTTTGGACTTTTTGGTTTGCGAGAAAATATTTTTGTTGGGTGAAAGTGATGTCGGCACGGATTTTGGGGACAACCGTTTTTTGAAGGGTGGAATTCTGTTGAGCTGTTTTCAATGCGTTTTGGGCGTTTTTCAGTGCAATTTCTGCGTCATCTCGAGTTGTCATATTCTCATTCAACAAATTGGAAAGGGCGCGCATCTCATTTTGTTTGTCTTGGAAATCTTCATAACTTAAGGAACTCAAGAATAACGCCTGACGATATATTATTGCTCGCAAATCATCAATTTCCATCTCCTGTTTGCTTATTCTAGTTTATTTTGATTATTCTTATAGTTTGTCATTTGTCTTTGAAAATCATCGAAAATATGATTGTTCAATCCGTCACTTGTTGTTTAGCAAAGAAGTCTTACTATTAAAATACTTCTTTTTTATTAATATTTTAAAAATTGTTTAAGTAAAACATTTTTTAAATATTGGGGGTGGGGATCCAAATATCGAAAACAGTTCAAGACTGAATTCTCATTCAATGAAAAATAACACACATTTTTTATATTTCTGAACTATTTCTTTAAATTGGAATTGAAACTTTTTAGAATTTACACAAACTTATTTATTATAACTTAATACTTAACAAACTATTATATTACTATAAATACAATTATAATATTAATAATAAATTTATTAATATTTTCATACAATGGTTTTAAAAACATTTTTCACCCAAAAAATGAATAACACACAAAAAAATGTTATTTACCAGATTGTGTTTTAAACAAGAAAGTGAAAGACTTCTCAAATTAGATCAAAAAGTTATTACGAAACTATAAAAATGAACTAGAAGAACTTTTGAGTTTAATGTCTGTGTATTTAACAAAGCAACAAGTTGTTGGTTCTTATGTCTCTATTAACTCCTCACTTGTGTCTGTCGAGTCTAAAGAACTTGAAGAGCTTACTCAACCAACAACAGAGCCATTAGTTTATGAAGTCATCCGAGTTATCAACAGCAAAGTTCTATTTAAAGAAGACCACATAGCGCGACTTACCAAGTCGATTGAGAAAGTCGAAGCCCAGAAACAGAACAGTTCCGCTGTAGAAATCGTCCAAACGCAACTTCCAAAACTGATTTCAAGACTCCAATTGGTCAATGGAAATTTGCGAGTAGTTGTCTCGCCAAGTATCGTTCTCGTCCATCAAAACGTCCACCACTATCCTACAGAGGAAATGAGAAGGAACGGCGTGATCCTTGGCGAAGTCCAAGTCACACGAGAAAACCCAAATATGAAAAGTATTCGACAGAACTACACCACCACCGTGTCTGAAGCAATGAAACAAGTTTACTTTGGCCAAGTCGTGTTTAGTGTGTTGTTGATTAATTCGGACCAGTGTTATACAGAAGGAAGTCACTCAAATGTCTTCTTTGTTAAGAACAACACTCTATATACAACACCAGACAATTTGGTCTTGATCGGCGTCACGCGGAAATACGTGTTACAAGCCGCTCAAGCACTTGGAATGAATGTCGTCACACAATGCGTCCATACATCTGAGCTTTATCAGTTCAAGGCCTTTTTATCAGGAACTTCTTTGAACGTCTTACCCATCCATTCCGTCGGAAATGTCATTCTTGAAAGTGAGAAGGACCAAACTATTAAAAATTTGGAAAATGAATATCTCCAGATTGTACACAGATATCTTGATGCTCAAGAATGAATAGGATTCTATTGAATATTAGTAATCAAACTATTTGGTTGAGTTTTAGATTTATTAATTTATTGATTAATTAATAACAAAGGTAAATAAAATTGATTATAAAAAATAATGATAAAAAAAAAAAATAATAAATATAATAAAAATTTAATAAAAATTTAAGAAAAATTTAAGAAAACAATTAAGAAAAAATATAATAATAAATATAATAAAAAATGTAATAAAAAATATAATAAAAATTATAAAACAAAATTATTACAATAATTATAAAAGAAACTATAAAAGGTAAAACTATGCTACGCCACACATTACGTGATAGTTATCACTGCGAATTCTGTGATGGCTATTTCACAGTCCCATCCCTTCCTAAAGTTCTTCCATGTTTCCATGTAATTTGTCGCGACTGTATTTTGTCGCTCATGAAAGTTCAAAAGAGTTACAATACCTATTCGGACACTGAGAACGAATTGTACTGCCCGAAGTGTAAGAAGTACATTCATCTTCCTCCAAATGCTCCGGACATTCTTCCGACCTCATACAAACGGATTAAAACGTCCTACGAGGCTTCGCGGTGCTTTGACTCACCGAATTGTTATTCCTCTTCGTTTGGGTATTGTTTTGATTGTACCACGACGTTTTGTATCGAGCATTCTAAGACGCACATCAAGCGGAAACACGTCGTTGAGATTTTTAAGCCGGGGAAGTTCTGCTTAACTCATATGAAGGCTGCGGAGATGTATTGTTACACGTGTCAGAGTGTGATTTGTGGAGTGTGTCGAGCTAGTCTTCATAGCTCACACACTGTTTCGAGTCTTTCATTGTTTTACTCTTTCTTTATGAAAGACATTACACTCCCGAAGTTGTATCAAAACTTAAGGAAGGTGGCCAATTGTGTGACACGAATCACATCAGTGATGGCAATAACTGACGCAAGTGAAGTCTCGAACATCCTCCATGACATCAATTTTGCATTTCGAATGGATCCAAACCCCTTTTGTCGCACTAACGTCCTCTCCGTCTTTATTCTTCCCATCAACGCAACGAAGAAATTTTCAATCTGCGAGTTGTGCGGGAGCTCGTCGCAGCGCCTTGAAATAGTCGTGAAGAAAGCGACGCCGATTCCTCGTCCGAGGACGGTCGGGTACTCTGAAACGCCGCTCATAAAATTTTATGATGATATGAGTCCAATGAGTCCTTTACCAACGAACGAGAGTGTACGATTGGGTGGCGAACTTAGTATAGAAGTCAATGAACAGGAAGTAGTGTTCATTGGGAAACGTGTTGGGGATGTTCTTGTTGAGATCCGAAGTGGTGGTGTTGAGATCGACAATTCTCCACTTCGTGTGCGTGTATGTCCTGAAGTGAAGAGTTTCTCGACGTCAGTAACGAGTGATAAACACCAAGTTGATATCAAATATTTGAATATAGTAGGGAAAGGGTATGGGATAGTTGACTCTGGGAATGACTGTGTGAAAATCATAGGCACCGACTTTGTTATTTTTGGGGGTCGTGGGAGTGGGAAAGGGCAGTTTAAAGAACCGAGTGGGTTATGTGTAGGTACCCATGACAAAGAGGAGTACATATGGGTAGTTGATAAAGGCAACAGTCGCATTCAGATGTTTAATAAAGGACGTTTTGTCCGGAGTATTCAACGAGAAGGGAAGGGCAAATTAGACTCTCCGACGTCGTGTGTTTATGTTGCGAGTGAACATTTGTTATATGTGACTGACACGTTGAACGACCGCATAGCGTTATTTGGGGTTGATGGGAGTTTTGTGAAGACGATTTGTGATGATTTGAATCATCCATTAGACATCAAGAATATCACAGTGAATAAAGAATTGATGTTTGTCGTGACTGACACGGGGAATCATCGAATTGTTTTAATTAACAAGACGGGTACCATTTTATTAAGTAAAGGGGGAGTAGGGGAAGAGCGTCGGGGGCATTTCATTCATCCAACGCACTTAGCAATTGATCCCAAGAAGAATGAGATCTATGTGACTGAAGGCAAAAGTATTATCCAGAAGTTCAATTACAACTTGGATTACTTACAGACGTATAACTTCCATATAGGAGAGATCACTGCGTTCTATTATAATACCACAACCGATGTGTTAGTAGTAGTAGGAACTGATTCGGATGAAGTCTACTCGTACACGCAAGAATTAATGGACTATTTTGTCGTGTAAACGGTTGAACAAAAAAAATTCACTTAAAAACAAACAAATTTTCGTGGGACTATTTTTTCCACTTTGTTCGCTCGTTTCTTGCCGATCTTGAAGCCATAGATTGTGGGACAAAAAACGTCCGAATTGGAGTCGTCGTAACTGTCGGACGAGTCGGAGTCCAGCACTACATCGGGGTATTGAAGCATATACAAATGTGGGAATGACATGCCAATAAAAGATCCGTCGATCTTACTCTCGTGGGGGTCCATAGGAATGTATAAGTCTTTACACTTCGGGCAGAAGCATTTGACCGTCTCTTGTCCTACAGTGTCATACAGCCCAACAGGTAATAACGGCTGCTCGTCACACTTCACACGCTGACAACACCCAAAGGCTTGTTGATTGACTTTCACGCGCATCTTCTTCATCCCGTCGAGAGTCAGAATGTAACGGGCATGGACAAGGCCATACAACGTCTCCGCAGACTGCTGTAAGTCTTCTTGAGACACTCGGGAGTGACTGCAATCGTCAGAACAATCGAGAATATAGTCTAAAGCTTTACTAAAGTGTGGGACACAACGCTCAAGGCCGTAAGTATTGAACTGATCCCCTATATAGTCTTCATCGACTTCCACAAAGTACTCGTGGCCGCTTCTTGTTAATACCTTGTTGAGGTCGTAGGAAGAGGGACTTGTCAAGTTCTAATATATAATTAATATGGTTTAAGTATAATAAAGTAATAGTTAAATAAGATACAAACGGCATGGAGCAGAATCTGGTGATCCAGGGCATGCTACAGCCCCCGGGCTCTGTTTCGGAATCTTGTTGGGGTTGATTCATATATGTGTTAGGTCCTATTATTTGAAATAGTCAGTTCTTGCTGATTTCTTTAAGATTGATTACTTACTATTATTATTTATTACTTATTGTTTTTCAATCTTTTAATGATTTGTTGAGTTGAATTCAAGTAAAAAGAATTGAAAAAACGGGAAGTTTAGGGTTTTTAATGTTTGAGGGTAATTTTAGTCTTTAGTCACGAAAAGTTATCTTAGGTAATTCAAGTTTAACTGAATTTAAAAATGTCTAAGATCTTGAGATTGTAAAGAGAAGAAATAGAATCAATCGAAGATTTCTATTCGTTTCTGATTTGTCAAAAATAAAAAAGAAATGGTTTTGTTATAATTTGATTTATTATATTATTTTAGGTTGATAATCTCAAGAAAGAATTTATTTTTGGAATAACTTTTTTTTGTTGAAAATTTACAAACAAATTTCGGAAAGTATTTGGTTTTGTTTATTATTAACAAATTATTTAAATTAAGTATATTGGTTTAGAAAGTATAATTACTTTTATTATTTGATTTCCATTTTTTTGTTTAAAACTAAACTAAATATAAAATTTTTGATCAAAATCGAATAAAAACCACTTCCGACTAACATTTATTATTTATAACTATTATTTTCTATAATATTCATACATAATAATAAAATGATTTTATTATATTAATATTATAATTAATCATTATTATATTTTGTACAAAAAAAAACAAAACTGTACAAAAGTTTCAAATTTGTATTTAAAATGAATTAAACTATATATTAAATAATAATATTAATATATATATAATTATTAATATTCAAATATAATTAATATAATTAATATAATTAATATAATTTATATAATTTATATTAATTATAATAATGATTAATAATATTATTAATTATATATAAAATAGATTTTTAATTGATTTTTTAATTTAAATATAGAAAAATAAATAATTATTATTCCCATAAAAAGGCAGAGTTCATGGGAATAAGGATAAACCACAAGGAAATAATAAAAACCTAAATAAACAAAAAAAGTCAAAAACGAGTGAATTGAGTCCGTAAAGTCTCCAAAACAAGATTCAATTTGTCTTGAAATGAGCTGTTTTTCTGTTAACAAAGTCGTCTCACTTGCTTTTTTTTCTTGAATTTTTACGTGAATCCACGACTGCCCACCAATAAAAAGAAATCTCAAAACATTACGCTCACAAATGTCACTCGATACTACAGAACACGTTCCTCCAGTTGTCAAAAATGACGACGAGATTGAAGTTCCACAAGAAAACTCAAAGGAAACAAATCACAGTTCAAACCAAAGCTCACGATCCGAGTCCTCTCGTTCCGACACAGACGATGATTTTGATCTCAACGTTCACCGTAAAGTTGAGGTTTCCAAAATACAACTTTCAGACGACGAGACTCCAAAAGAAACTGAAAAAAAGACTCCAAGAAAATCGCCAAGTCCATTTCCTGATATTCCTGATTCGGTCATTCCAGAAACACTCGATGACGTATTACCAATTAAAGGCCTTTCAGATAAAGCACTTTTCAATCTTTCAAAGTATAATTCAACAAATGAGAAGATGACAATTCAAGATTATATTGCTGGAATAAGTGGTATGGAAGGGGCACTTTTTGATATAGAGAAAGTCAAAGTCCCTGGCCTCTTGGCGAAAGATTTTGCCGATGAAGTCAAGAACTTAACGAAGTCGTACATTTCTCTCAATTTGAAGGGAAGAGGTGTCATGTTCATATCAAAGAACTATTATAGGGTACACGCGCTTTCATTGGCTGCTGTAGGTGCTGGGATGTATGTCATTCACATGAACCCCTCTACGCCGATGGTTTCGTTGGTTGAAGCTGTCAAACAGTCTGGAGCAGCACAAATTGTGTGTGATTTGGACAATAAAGATTATGTTGTTGAGTTGATGAAATACACAAAACTGCCATGTCTACTTATTAATGGTGTTATGAACGATGGTTTTGTTAATTACGACGATTTCAAAAAAATAGCAGACTCAGTCGATGACGCAAAAATTGACGAGTTTAGAAAACAGGCTAAACCTACTGACATTGCCGAAATAGTTTTTTCATATGCTGAGAATGGGATCAGAGGCACAATGTGGACACATGGCAATATCATCGCACAGTGCTGTGCACTTAAATCAATGTTCAACTTGACGAACAAGGACAGATATATAATGTGCCACAACATGTCGTATTATGTTGAGAGATTGTTCTCGTTGTATTTACCAATTATGGTTGGGTACCACGTCTATATTTCTACGGACGTATTGTATCGTGAGAACTTGAAGTATTTCATTGAAATTGCTAAAAAATTTAAACCAACTATTTTAGTTGGAGTGCCACGACTTTATGAAAAGTTGCTTTTTAGAATTAATGAAGCTTTGAAGAAGTCTAAACTTGCGGCCAAAGTGAAAGATTTAGCGGTAGATGGGATGGTTAAACAAGAAGAAGGCAAATCAAAGCCAGTTGGGTATGGCACATCACGCACTTTGGTCTTCAACAAAGGAAAAGAAAAGACAGGAGTGATTGACGTTAGGTACTTCATATGTGCTGGTATTCTGAATCAGAATATGTTAAAGGATATTATGGGGAAAGGCATTGAAGTCTTTTGTGGACTTCCTTTCATAGAAACCACTGGATTTATCGCACTTAATAGAGAAAAGTGTTTGCAATTGGAGTCCGTTGGTAAAGTTATTCCAGGTTGTGAAATTTCCGTTCAAAACAAAATGTTGATGTGCAGTGGACCTACAATATCTGGTGGGTACACTGTTGGAGAGATTGGAGAACATTTTAACACGGAATGTGAAGCAACTTTGAACAATGACTTTGTGGAAATCAAACAATACAAAAACACTGCGATTATGACGAGCACTGGCGAGTTCGTGTCTTATAAATTTGTTGAGTCTCTTGTGAAAAGTATAACGGTGATCAAGGGTGTACTTATTGCGGGAAATGATAAGCCGTATTTAAGTTGTATACTCAATGTGGTTTATGCCAAAGCTAAAGACGTATTGAAAGAGAAGTGTCCGACAGAGAAGATGCTGGCACGTGATGCCTACTTCGGCACTTTCATTCGTCAACGAATTGATTGGCTTAACAAACAACTTCCAAAGCCACTTCAGATCAAACGGTTTGGTGTGATGGTTGATGGGCAACCAGGCACTGACTTATTGAAGGAGAACATGAGCTTTGAGGATCAGAAAGTTGCAATAGTGAAATTCCAACCGTTTATTGATAAATTGTATGTGAGAGGAATTGTGGAAAAAGAAGGCAAAGCTTCTAAAACAGAGAAAGAGGAACAGAAGAAGCGACGCAAAGCGGAGAAGGAGAGAGAGAAAGAGGAGAGAAAGCAAGCAAAAGCAGAGAAGAAGCTTAAAGAAAAGGATCAAAAGGCGGAAAAAGCGATGCAAAA